GTTAATTGCGCGTTATCTGTGTTCGAATCGGGACACGACACGGAAAAAAAAAAGAGAGAGAGAGAGAGAGAAGAGGATACGAATCGAACGTGATCGCTCAATCGAGGTACAAGCTACGGTAACAAGGATACCTCGCCGATGGTACCACTCCGATGGTTCGCGCGACGTCGAATCGCGAGGGGTGGTTTACGAGCGTGTTCCTTACGAGCGGCGCCTTGACCTGCCTCTAGCGAAACCCACGACAGCCGAGTCTAAACCGATACGAGCCGATCAGCAGTGCACGCGTGGACGTATCAGTCGTCATTGCTATTTTTAAGCTCCGTTACCTTTCTATTGCTTCGCGTTGTCGAGTAGCAGCCCTACCCTTTTGCAGGACATTTCCGTATCTAGCTCCGTTTCCATCCAGTCTTTTCCCCTCTTTCTTCCTTTTTCTTCCTCTTTATTATCCTTCGAGATCTCGATCTTTTTACGTTTCGATCGAGCCAACGTTTGAGATACGTCGTTGTCGCTGTTGACCGATGTTTCATCGAGCGAACACGCGTCAAAGAGAATCGGGGATTAAAAGAAAACGGAGAGGAAGAGGGAGAGCAAGAAGCCGAACGCTGGCAAAAGATTGCTTCCGCGATGCATGGCGGGGGAGAGGAGGAGGAGGAGGGCTTTCATTATATTTGCCGAATGCGAGGCGACTTCTTCATTTGCGCTCAAGAGAAGAGACATCCGCCGGCCCGTGTTTTGTCCCTGATACCTCGGCGAAGTGGTTGTTGCGGAGGCGCGTGGGCGACCGGAAACTCTCCCTCCCACATTCGCGTGCCCTACCTCCTCGAAGGGACTTTCAGAGAAGAACGCAGCGCGAGGGGAGGAGGGAGATGGAGCGCCGAGGGAACGAGAGGAAAATAGAAAGCGAGGAAAAAGAGAAAGGAGGAGAGACAACGTGGTATTGCCGCGGTCCCTTCGGCTCAAGAACTCCTCAAAATTGCGCAGAATTTACGGAAATACCTCTTTATTATCCTCTTCCACCGGCGATTAATTATCTCGAGAATCACCGGTTGCTCATTTTAATCGAGGAAGATAGGAGATGGGTACAGCCATGTTTCCACGTATATCGTTCCTCTTCCCATTTGGGTTTCTAGAGACTGTTAATTAAGCGCCACTTTCTACCTTCCTTCCTTCCTTCACGACACTTCGCACCATTGGAGAGTTTTACGACGGGCTTCTTCAAAAGACGCTCTTCGATCATCGAAGCGCTGTGGATGAATCAAAAGTTGCGTCAATCCGTTTATTTACGGATGAAACGGGATACACGAGAGGTTTTAATTACGTTTGTTAGATCCGGAACGACGGTGATGTCGGACTATTTTCTCCGAAGCCGAACGAAAATTGAAACGAAGCTTAATTGACAGGTAAATTTATCAGCGGCAGGATCGAATACGACCCTTTCTCAGGGACCTAGACCACTTTCACCCGAAATTTATTCCGATCTTAACTAATGGAACTCGTGCGTTCGGTCCCGTAATCGATTAGTATCGACAATGAACGAAAATGAGTATGAAACCTATCATTAATCCTGAATCCAATCCGTTAACGGGCCAATAACGGGTCACACGTTCGATCACAATGATTCGAATCAACCCCCTGGCTTACCGCTCTCTCTCTCTCTCTCTCTTTCTCTCTCTGTCTTCTTTCTTTCCATCCACTTGATTGACGCTAAGACGTAATAATTAATCGTTAGATAATCGAATTGGAAAGCGAACGAACGAAAGGAAAGCTAGCTTGTCATTCGTAACCGGCAAAAGAAGAAAAATATAAATTTGAAAAATGAAAGATTTAAAGAAAGGTAATTTTGAAATTCCATTTCTCGAGTGTTTAGAACAATCTAGAGAATTTGTATCGAAATAACATATTATATATCATCGGCCGATATATGTTTTATTAATATGTAGAATGGCGACGAGAAACGCGAAAAGGGTTAAGAGAGGAACGGTCGAATAGAATGGAATAGAAATCTACAAATTGTTCTCCATTTTGGCCGGTTTGTGTCTCCCCCACCACGGTGGCAGGGTGTTGCGCCAGGTTTACCACTTCGTGAGCGCTATCCGGACACCTGAATCGAGAGGATTTTCACAACGGCGCTGCCTGACGCGAGAGAGCTCCGGCTAGGTTGTCGCGTGGGCGACCGGAAACCGTACCTTCCTACCGTCTTTGGTCGTCACTCGACGACTCCGCGGAGAAGGGGGTCCAGGGGAGAAGGGAGGAGAGAGAAAAGGCAGACCGACCGGCCAAGAACTGGCGCAGCTCTCCTTCAATGTTCTCCACAACAGCCAGTACCCGCGGCCGAGGGCGGATCTGTCCTCATCGTCACGTAATGTTTTGAGGTACCAGGACCTACAGGGATTCCTACTTACCGCTTTCGATGTATATATATATATATGGGCTTAATAAAAATAGAAATTTCTCTCGGCGATTCTTCCGTTTCCGGATATAATATAAATTAATTAATGCCGCGCTAACGTCCCTTGCTAACGTTGCGACATTTAATTTTAACGATTTAACGGTAATGGACTAATGAAATTTTTATGACGCATATACGTTACATGATTCTTCGTTAATTGCTCCTCGTGTTAAAATCATATTTCTGTTGATAAATGAATAATTCATATAAAATGTGTTTCAACGTTTCCTTTTTTTTCATATATCTAAAAAATATAACTGGAAAATCGCGTCACTAAAATGCCCTGTGTAGAGGGATTAATTTGTAACGATTACCGCATAAAGAGTACCAAGGATATATCTGAAAACATGTCGAAACGCGTGAGATAGGAAAAAAAGGAACAGAGATAAAAAAATACTATCTAGGCTCTTCGGATGATAGAAAGGTGATGACCTCGATCCTACGCCTGCCGCGTATAAAACGCCGCGCCGTTCCCGTCTTGCACCTCGTTCCGCCTGTTTCTGCTTGCCTGTTCTGACTGGCCTGCCCACGCCTGCCCTTCTGTCAATTATATTTACTATTTCATTCATACGGCCGCCGCTTGGTCCACGAGCCGTGCCCATTCACGAGAACGGCCGCGCATGCCAGATCGCTCGCGCCCGATGGCTATCCGATAGGGTAGCGCCTCCATATATGATTCGGATGGAAGTGCACTGCGGGCAAAAATGTAATTGCCGTAATCTAGGATTATACGGTTGCGTAACATCGACGCCAGATATATTCTCTGCGTTTGTGAGCGTATATGTGTTTGCGTACCTTTTGCTCTCCGTACTGGGTTGTGTAATATTCGAGCTTTCAACGAAATGGAAACGATAACGTTAGATTCCGAAAAGCGCGCACGCCATTAATTGCTGGTGTTTCGCCTTGTGACGCATGCGCAGAACCTATGCGCAAAGATTCGTCGCAGACGCAGTTTTTCGTGAATCGTTGTTCGTTAACACAGTTTCTTTTTATTTCTTTTTTTTTTTTTTTTTTTTTTAAATAAATAAAATTTACGTTGTCATATTACCTTGAAACGTTTCTTTCTTTACTTTCTCACCAACTCCTCTCAATACATCGCAGACCGTGAGAATTTTTTTCGGCTCCCAAGGGGTTCGCTCACTAATCGGGCGCTAATTTGCTTGATGCCGTAAGGAAACAGACGGGAGGATCTTACTAATTCGAGCCAGTAGACCGTAAAAATTCACTGGTTTTCTAGCACCGTATATGGTATTCTTGTTTAATAGAGAACGCAATCGGCTATTTACATGACAAATTTGTTCGCGGTCTCAATGAAAATTTATGCTAATAGATTTAATGTCATGGGTTCATGATTCGTTTTTAATGATTCAATCAAGATTAAGTATTGTAAGATTACACCTACTCGAATTCAAATGACACGGGTTACCCTAGTTCTTTCTATTTTTTATTATACGTATTCTAATACCTGTGATAGATCCATAATATTAATTGGCTCAATTTCACGTCAAAATCGATGATCGTCGATCACGTTTAGATCGATCACGAGGCATTCTTTAAAGAGGCCGAGAAATTTTTCGTGTTCCATCGGAAGAGATGAGGTCAACGTTATTTTCTAATAGATGAAACACTCGACGAAACTACACACATACATATCTGATAGTTCGAATAATTAAGTTTCCACGTTGATTCTCGTGATTCCTATAAAGGCATCGGGTTCACGCCTACGCTCAATTCCTTTTCGACTCTTGTGTGACTAGGATTCCGTGATTGCAAAGCTGTTTTAGCGTTTAATGATGTTTTTTTTCAACGTACGTATGTAATAAAACTTGTCAAGGATCATTATGATACTATTAATAAATGATAACTCTATCTGATATATTTTTTTGCATTCGAAATTTTGATTAACATTTTGACCGATGTAATACATGTAATCGTTGTATAATTTTACGTGTTGTATAATTTTACGTGATACGAGTATTTTATGTTATAATTACTTCATAAAAATTTAATTAAAATATCAATATATACCATATCTACGTATATTTACTTTGATTTTAAATTTTTGTAATTACTTTTGTAACTAATTTTATATCGTTTGTATAACAATGCCATCTAGCAATAATAAAAAATAACAATATATAAAGTTAATGTTATCAGAAATCGGTAATGATGTACTCTACTTTATTTTTTAATATTATTTAATTAGAATAACAAGTTTTTTATATTTTTCATTAAGTTAAGTTTCATTAAGTTCTTAATAATTTCAGTATTAAAAGTTTTTTATAATTTTTATATTATTCTAATAATCTGTATATTCTTACTTATATACCATACTTGACGTTATGCTTTTCATTCCTTTTTTATTTCACTTTTAATTTGTAACATGTATCCAATTTGATTGAATAAAAATTTAATCTTTAGATTTGGAAATCTCAAATTCATGTGTTATTTTTCAAAATTATAAAATGTAATTTCATCGATCGCGATTAGAGGGGGCGGATTTTCATGCTCGATCGGTACAAACATCATTGTTCGCCATAATAGAAAATAACCCACATGTTGCCTCTCTGTTTTTGTTCTGTTACTCGATCAGCTGATCAACTATGGAAACTTCAATCCTAAACGCGGTAAGTGTCTTCGTGCTTTCTTATACGTCTTATCATTATGCACAACCAACAATTTTATCTTCGTTATATATTAATTAATATATAAACGAACATTCTTTACCACGTACAGTGTTTCTTTGTGTAAGTTACTGAATTCGATTTTACAAAAACATGCGACTGTGCAAGTTACGTCGTATTGATATTGAATTATCGAATGTCATATGTTAATTTTCGAGAATTTTTTTAATACTATTTGTTCTTATTTCTTTGATTTCTTTGTACAAACATTGATATTATTTTTTTTTTTACCAAAGGCACACGAAAAACAAAGAAGAGCAGATGCATTGTTGCAAGAAGGTCGTTTTGAAGAGGCAGCCAAGTGTCATGAAACAGTAGCCAGTCTCTTAGAAGAAGCACATGTACAACTTGAATCTAATTTTTTTAATTTGAAAACTTCCCGTTTATCTAGTCAACCACCACCATTCACACCATTTACACCACCATTTGTAATCTCTTCTTTTCAATCATTTATTACTTTGGAATCTCTTGCTCTTCAACGTGATTATCATAAAAGACAAGCTGCTGTAGTTAGGTAAGTAATAAAAATAATTCTTATTTTTTATAAAATATGAATCATAAATATTTATGAAAATTCTTATCCTAGAATGAAACAAGCTCAATACGAAGAGTACAAAGCCACATTGGAAAACCAAAGAAAAGAAATTCTTAGCAAACAAGTATCTAAACAAGTTGAAAAGGATACATCTGAGTTTACAAGTGATAAATTTGATGGGTCTCTACGGCAAGCTATATATAGAACAATCGAAGAGCAGGATAGCCTTTTAACTTTAATCTCATTACCTAATAGCGAAGAAAAAGCTTTTAAATATCCAAAGGATGCTAGTACCGTTATCGAAGAACTGAAAACTGCTAATTGCCAATTGCGTTGTCTAGTTGGGAGCTTGCTAAACCAATTGGAGGCAAAAGAAGAAGAAGTGAGGCAATTGACCGAACAACTTCACGCTGCTAACCTTAATGATGAAAGTAGATTAGACAATGCTTTAAGACTTGCACCTCTGCCACCTTTAACTCCTCTAGAAATGCCTCTTTTTGACTTTACGTCAACATAAAGTATTATGCGATGAGTGTGATTTTTTTTATTGAAATTTTTCATCAAATAAGATGTAAAAACGATTATATATATATATATTATATATATATATATATATAAATGAAATCAGATCTGTAATAGTACAAAGATTAACGCGAATATTGCTGCAGTATTCAATTTCTTACCGCAGAATTTTAAAGTTTAAGTGTGCTATAAATATAATATTTTATAACCTTGATAAAAAATAATTATATAACCACACTGACGAATAGCGTATTAGTACTTATTCTCGTTCGTTTAGTATCGTTCAAAGGGATCAAAATACATATCAGTTACATAGAAGCGATATAAAAAAAAAAAAAAAAAGAAAATCCTGTATTTAGTTTATGAGTGAAATTTGCAATATCATGCGTCTATATATGTATATGAATAATAAAGCAGTTGATTTATCGATTAAAATACTGCCATTTATTATTAGATGTTTGTAGATAGAGACAAAATAGTACAATAAGTACATACGTTTATCCTGGAATTGTACAAAGTTGTAAAAACTATACCTAACCGTTGTTAATCCGCAATACCGTTGCAATTGCGTGTTTCGGTTTGTTCTAGAAGTTACTCTTGAATATGCAGTGGCCGTTTGAAAAACTTTGTTATTTATCATGTAACGTTGCGCAATAAACAATCTACCGAATCTACGAAACTACTACATTTCTTATTATAAACTGTTATATTCGCTCGAAGGTCTCTCGATAAATGTCAATTTTTAACGTTATCGATACGATGAAAAATTTGACGCTCTTACCTGATAAACGAACACATTCAATATCTTCTAAATTCGCCACTTTGACAAATGTACAAAAATGATACGTAAATAGTATACGGCAAAAAAAAAAAAAAAAAAGAAGAAAAAAAGAAGAGAAAAAAATTATACAAAATAATGATCAAAATTTTTGGTGTAATCTCACAATATTCAAACGATGCAGTGTTACCGTTTGTTCGTCCCAAATGGGAATCCATTGGAAATTTATAATTCGGATTACGGTTGAACAATGGATGGATCAAGTGAAATAATAACAATTTTCATAGGGCAGGCTGGCACGCAATTAGCAAATGCCTGTTGGGAATTATTCTGTCTGGAACATGGCGTGTCTCCCAATGGCTGTCTTCGCCAAGGTTACTATCCAACGGATCCTGCTATGTGCGCCTTCTTTTCAGAGTCGCAAGTAAGCAAGTATATTATATATAATGGAAGTATCATTGGACTCGTTCCAAACGATCTATTCACATTTTTTTAGGTAAGAAAGCTGACACCGCGAACGATGATCATTGATCTGGAGCCAAGCGTGATCGACGAGATTAAAACGGGCGATTACAAGCAATTGTTCAGCCCCGATTCGTTGGTCACCGGAAAACAAGACGCGTCGAACAATTACGCGAGGGGTTACTACAGCATCGGTAGAGAGGCGATTCCTCTCGTATTGAGTCGTATTTCCAAGATATGGGAAGCGTGCTCGAAGCCAGCTGGATTCATCGTATTCAGGTAATTCAGTTTTAATGAATTCAGATCAAGAAAATTAAAATTCTCACTCGTAAAAAGCTCAATCAATTTTATATCAATAGATCGATAAGCGGTGGTACCGGAAGTGGTTTTGCCTCCTTGCTACTTCAACAATTATCAACCGATTATCCGAAAACGATCACTTTGGACTTTGTTATTTATCCATCCCCCAACATATCCGCAGTTATCGTGGAACCGTACAACGCGTTATTCTCTATCCACAGTTCATTGGATCACGTGGACTGTTCCTTCCTCGTTGACAACGAAGCTCTGTACAACATTTGCGCCAGGTATCGATTAAAAACATCGTTAACTCATCCTTATTATCGTCTTATCGTTAACTATCCTCATTATCGTTTCCCAAACAGCAATTTGGACGTAAACGATCCAACTTTCACCAATCTGAACCGCCTGTTAGCCCAAATTACATCCAGCGTCACGGCTTCGATGAGGTTCGAGAGCGCTGTGAACGTTAGCCTCCAAGAATTGCAAACTAATCTGGTACCTTATCCAAGAATTCATTTCTCCTTGACTACGTACGCTCCGCTGATCTCTCCTAGAAGGGGCATGTACGCTGAAATTACCACCCAGCGGATCACCAATGATTGTTTCATACCTTCGAATCAGGTGGAGCAAAAATATTTAGATATTTTTTTTTTTCAAAAGATAACAGGTCGTGTTATCGTTTTTTAACGTGTCAATCAATTTTTAGATGTTGTCGATCGATCCACGTACCGGAGCTTATACCAGTTGTTGTTTACTTTATCGTGGAGATGTGAGCGCAAATGACGTTAACAGAACGATCGCGTCACTGAAAGGGGCAAAGTCTATTCGTTTCGTCACTTGGGCTCCGACCGGGTTCAAAGTACATATTATTATTTACGATTTTCTATGTATATTTTTCTTTTTTTCTTTTTTTTTTTTTTTACGTATATCTTTACATATAATTTTCCATTTTGAAACAAATATTATGCGCGATGGAAGATGGAATATCGTTATAAAATGATACAGCAAAATTGCTAGATTGCTGTGTTGATATATCCAACATTGTGGAAAAAGTGGCGGTACGTTGAACCGTTGAATAGATAATGTCTTTTTCTCTTCTTGAACTGTGAGTTTACTCTGAAAACGTTATGAAAATAAACGATTCGTATCACTCTCTGTGTAAACGGGAACAGAACTTGATACGAAATGGAACGAAATAGTTTATAAAAATTTATTGGAAAAAAAAAATGCATTCGTAGGTAGGTATTAATTATCAGCCGACCACGACCGTCCCTGGCGGTGATCTGGCAAAATCGAGCAGGACGGTGGTGATGATCAGCAACAACACAGCTATGAGACACAGATGGTCGATGCTCACCCGGAAATACGACTTGATGTACCAGAAAAGAGCTTTCTTTCATCATTACATAGGGGAGGGTATGGAGGAGGATTTTTTCAAGGAGGCACGGGAGGACATGATGACTCTGATCAATGATTACAAAGAGATCGAGAGATGATCCTTTAAGATTCTTCGCTTTCCAATTTATAAAGTTTCTCTTGTGCGAGAGATAAAGAGACATTTGCGATCGCTGTACTTTATTTCAGCAAAGGTTAGTAACAAAAGGTTAGTAAATAGAGAAGAAAGAATTTTATAATATTTACTGGAACCGTGGTACGGTTGAGCAAGGAGCGTTTGATTTATTTCTATTATTTCAGAGGAGAAGAAGAAAGTGTGATTGCACCGAGATAAGAAAGAATCGCGCGAAGATAAGCGGACAGCCAGTGGTAGACTCGCTGGCACCAATGGGTACAACGCGAGCGATCGTGTAATATTGACTTTCACTTGTTACATTTGCCACGGACATACAGACCATCGATAAGGAATCACGCACTTTTCGATCTGAACGTGTGGATACCTGCATGTTCCACACTGTGAAACAAGCATATATACAAAATTAGGCCTTGTTGTATTCGTGTAAACGACGTGCTAATGATAAGCGGTATCGGGTGATTGGTATCCCCTGGCGATATCATTCGTGCCATCCGCTTTGTTCTGGATATAATCGGTCATTTATCTTCGTTATCTTCGAAGACAATTAAGAATTCCGGGAAAATAAACAGAAAAATCCTGACATATATTATAACGGAGGAGCAACAACACCCTTATTATTATATTGCGGCTGTAAAATCTATAAAATGTAAAAAAAAAATATATATATATATACCGATTTCAAAGCGTACAATAAAATAAAAATCGTATTCTGCCTTTTCGTAATTTCGCGATTCCCTTCGAAATTTCTTCTTCCCTGAAATAAATTAATTTCTTTCTTTCGTCGTCGATCGAATTCGATATTTCCTCTCCTTTCCAGATCGATTCAGAGATATCGAAAACCCGATTTCGATCGAGAAACTCGTGTTACCGATAACGCGAACACGACAAATGTCGTTTCGATCGGCGAATAATCGAAGGATCACGGCTCCCCAACGAAGATATAACCACTCGAAAACATTATCGTTCACGCATTGCTCTCGACCAAGTGTGTACATAAGAAGTTCATTTACGCATTACATAATTTTCCTCCAACGCAATTACACATTGTACACCTCTCATTCTACTCCCCTCCAATTTATCGTCCAACCTTGATTCGTGTGTACGTACGTTGTGTACGTACCTCTGCAAACATGGATCGGTTATTAATGGGAATGGCAGACGGATAGGAGAAGAAGAAGCGTGGCACGAGCTCCGCTTTTATCGAAATCGACGATCGTCTATCTCGATCACGTCGTCCCCTCTCCACTTCCCTCCGCGACGCCACGAAAGTTTCACGTGAATCATATTGACCGTCTCTCTCTCCCCCCTCTCTCTCGGCCATGTATGATTGCATCGCCTTCTCGAGTCTTTGCACGCGTTTATACGCATCGTTTTCCTTCAACGTTTTTTTCCCTTTCATTTTACTTTTCCAATTACGTATAGCGTTGCGGCCCCGATGAACTTGACGACGATTTCTTTCCTTCCTCGTTTCATTAATTATTTTTCCATCGATTAAATTTCGAATTAAATTTTCCATCGATCGTCCACTGATGGAACGTTTCTTTCTTTTCTTTTCTTTTTTTTTTTTAAGAAGTATGATGAGACGATAACAACAAGAGCGTATAAACGAGATCGTAATATTTAAATATTTTATTCTCGATCGGACAGGGATTCTTTCTTTCGAGGGTGGGGAAAATTTTTATTGGAATAAAAATTCTTCCAACTTTATTATAATACGTGGAAAATGTGAAAAGGAATTCGAGATATTTCCCCCCATTTCTTCAGAAACTCTCCCTTTCCTCCTCCCTTCCCCTCAATATTCCAATAATTTTCCACTTGAGCTGCAATTTTTATTCTCTTACCGAGGATTAACGTTAAAAGCACATTTCGAGCAAAACAAAAAGATATTATTCGCGTAAAGTGCGTAGATGATCGATGAAAAATAATATTTTACAGGCTCGTAAGACGAATCGTGCACTTAATCGTGCAATTAAAAAGAAAACTCGTATGATACAATGGATTAAATACCGATACGTAGTATCAACAATTAACACCGATAACTAGTAAGTGCACACTCGAGCATAAACGAATTAGGAGCGAAATAAATCCATGGATTTCTTTCGTGGATACGAAAGGAGATAAAAATAAACTTTGTTTCTTCCCGAAGCCAATCTCCCCCTTAAAAAAAAAAAAAAAAAAAAAAAAACAAATATCGATTACAGATTTTTTGCACATCCCGATCATGTGATCGGGATACACAATCATAACGATTTTACGTGTTAATCTCGAGTCAATGACTAATTTTACGATCGTGGCGCGTGTAATTATTAAACGATAAACGAGATGTTTTCCAACTTATCTTTCTCGCCAGAATCAAGAAAACGTGAAAACGTGATAGATTTGAACGCATTGCAAGAAGTATTACAAATTTACATAACGATTACGATTCGCGTATTTTCGACGAGGAAAATTATTTTCGACCTTTGTTATCGTTTCCCGTTCACAAATTTAGACACGACCGATTCTTCTTCAACATTTCTCCTCTTCACCTCTTCTCACTCAGACAAACGTTACGAACATTAAGACGTTAAGCGCGTTTCATCATTAACACGCTTCGCTGAAGAAGATCCAGGAAGAGCACGCTGCGTTATTATGTACACGTATATTAATTGTGATCAGAGACAAAGTACATCGGAAAGATGCGAAATGTTATCTCTCCTGACAGAGAGGCTATTTTTTTAACGATACACGACTGCGTCAATATATAATTTTCCACGAGCGCGTTAAACGATCGGGGGAAAATTGTTCGATGATTTATACCAAGGTATATCGTAACCATGATTTATGAATCGTTCGTCGAGCTTGAGTATTATTCATCCTGGCTTTACGGTTATTAACATTCCTCTGTGTTAGTTTGACAATGAACAATTGAAGACCGATCGTTATAAAACTCCAAGAAATTTTATCTATACGATAAAAGATCTTCTTCTCTTCTTCGACAGAATTGACAAAATCTCGAATTCTCGTTGAAGCGTGAAAAAAAAAAATAAATAAATCGAATAATCGAGCATTTTCTCTTTTTTCTTTTACTTCTCGAGGAAACGAATTCAAGGTCGTATTATCACAATCTTATTTACTAACATTCCCGATAACGATATTCGATCGTATTAGCATACCGAATTAATCGTCATTATCGTTTCTTTTAATCACGACTTTTGCTCGTGTAATCCTGTATTTCGAATTATCGATCCATCGGCCGAATCGTCCCAAAAAAAAAAAAAATCATCGAATTTGTCGACATACGCGAAAGTAAGAGAAGCATCGACAACGATCACGTAGTAAATATCGATAGATCAGTCAAAGAGCAGATCGGTTGTTTATCTCAAACTTGTCCACTTCTGAGAAACCGAACACCACTCGCTTCCCACCACTCGGCCACGGTTGTTCCAGGATTCGGTGATCACGGTGTGAATGACGCCGCTCGCTGTTATCGCGAGAACCCGTGACGTAGTCTTTATCGTATAAATTATCCACCAGAGGAGGCCGGTTCGTCAGTTCAGCTTTTCTCCTCAAACGATTGTTACAACGAGAGGTAGACGATTCTATCGTTCCTCTCCAACGAGTCTTCTTCGACCAGCTAACAACTGCACACACTTCGAGTGCTCCAACAACAAATACACGCCGTAAATCAATTTGGCAAAGCGAAAAAAGGTGAGCATTTTCCGCTTTTTTCGAAGATTCGAAATTGTCGTCGCTCCAGAAAAGTTGGATCCGAATCCAAGCGTCGCTTTTGAATTTAACTTTCACAGATTGTTCGTTCCTACGATCCTACGTCTCCTTCGTTTATTATTCCTTTTTTTCTCTTTCTTTTTCCCCAGATGCTGATCGGTGGAGCGGTAAGCTACGTAGCTGGGAAGCAAGCGGTTCGCACGGTTTACTGGCGAACGGCGAGCAACGGTCGCCTGTTGAAGACGGCGAAGACCTGCATGTTCCAAGGCCCGCCGAAACCAGCGCCATCCTCCACTTCCGCGTTCGAGGGCCATTCCCACATGGACCCCATACCCAAGGACATCTTCAATCATAGAAATTGAACGACACGTTGTACGAACATGACGCTGAACCAAAGAACTGGGACTGGGAGGGGGAGGTGTGGGACAGGGAGGGATCAATCACTTTGTACATAGCTTTAATAATAGCTTTAGCTTTAGTAATTTAAGTTATAATAATATTTGTACATTGAGAGTTGATTAGAGTTGATTTAAGTTTTTGTTTAGTTAAATATACGTATTTATTTTCTTTATCTCTAATCTCTTATTTCTTCTATCCAACACACTTTTCGTCGAAACAAACGAAATGTCTCGAAATGTTTACTCGAATTCCCCCCTCCCTCGATCGATTTATCGACTCTCTCCTCTCCTTAATTTTGCAACACGATCGTTCATCAGCAATCCCAGAGTCTAGCGAGTGTATCGTGGAAATAATAATAATAATAATAATAATAATAATAATAATAATAATAATGACGCGCACGAGATTATCGACGTCGTCTAGGTGAACCTAGCGTGCTCCCTTCCGAGCTTTCATACTTGAACTTTGAAATAAGGCCAAACCGCGTTTGCGTCACGAGATTTTTCAACATGGATCTTTTTCCTTTTTTGTTTAAATTACCACCATGGCTATGAATGATTGGTGGTTAACGATTCGTTGCTTTCCTTTTTTCTTTTGCAGAAGAAGAGATTATGTTCTTGCGTTCTCGATCATTTCCGTTTCGTTCGATAAATTTAACAATGACACGATGTCTCCCTTTTCCAATGTTTCTTACTACACTTACGCGTCGTATTTTTGGCAAGGATTGAAAAGAAAAAAAGAAAGGAAAATAAGTCTTCTCGAACGAATCGAAATAATTCGCGTCCCAGCCACAGTTTTTATCACATCATCGAGAGAAAATTCACACAATCACGCGTGTGCATCGTGCTCTGCGCCAAGATACACGATTCCTCGATATCAGATGCGTCATTCTCTAACGAATCTCTCGAATGGAAAATGGAATCAAGCTGTTCGAGAGAACAACGACCCTTTTTTTTTCGTTCATTTCGTTCACCTCTCGTGTATCGATAATTGTACTCCTTTGATTACAATTAAAATTATTTATATGGCAGATTGCGGAAATGTTGGTGAAAAAGAAACGTTTGGGTTGACAAAGTTGCAAGACGCCCTTGTTGCTGCACGCGATAAGAACAATCGAACGAAACGCTCTACGACTCTACTCTATGAGATAAAAGAAGGAACGTTGGTTGCGGGTCAAGGTCTCCGACATTCAACGCACGTTCCTTGTCAGCACGGACAGGGTTTCCCTGAACATCTGTCTGGAGACTCGACGAGGCGAAACTTTCTTCTCATCCGTTTCATACCTCGGTTGATAACCTTTGGAAAAGCAAGAAAAGAAAAAAAACAGATTATTCATATTTTGTATTCATTAATTAAACAGGTCAATCGATATCTACGAAAAAAGTGGATAATAGAAAAACCGAGAATGAAAATAATAAGCAAAGATACGCGTGTATATCGTTACCACATGCTTGAAATACCGGATATCCGGTATATACTACTCAACTCGATGGCGTAAGAATGATGCAAGAACGATGCAACACAAAATATTGTCGAAAATAGGAGGGGGAAAAAAAAACCTAAGATGTCACGATTGGATTAGTGGGCGAAGGGTTTGAGACGCGTTTAACCTACGAACAATTTTCTTTGAAAATTCCGATGAATCTACTCCGTGCAATCCCTGATAAACTTGAACTACAAATTTTTATCCTTCGTTTCTTCCATCTTCCAATCCTTACGTTCGTCGTTTCCAATTAAATTTCAAATTTCTTCCATTTCCATCATTAATTACAAATTATTCTACAAATCTCGTCCAAAGTTATCATTTAAAAAATATTATATCACGAGCGATCGTACAAATGAACAAGTTTTCGTCCAAAAAACTTTCCTCGATCCTCCAATCTCCTTACGTTCGTTTCCAATTAAACTTAAAATTTCCTCCATTTCCATCATTAATTACAAATTATCTTACAAATCTAGTCCTAATTCATCATTTAAAAAATATTATATCACGAGTGAATGAATAAATTTTCGTCCGAAAAAGTTCCTCGATCCTCCAATCCTTACGTTTTCAATTAAATTTAAAATTTCTTCCATTTCCATCATTAATTACAAATTATTCTACAAATCTCGTCCAAAGTTAATATCATTTAAAAAAATATTATATCAATCGCAACTCGTCGATAGGGGCGCCCATCGCTAGTGGTTGTGTCACCACCGGTCGAGACTATAGGGTGCGCAAGGGGATGAAGTTGCGCGGGCGCACTGTCAGGACTATCGATTTCGCGAGCACGGCGGTGGCACGGCGGTTGGCCATCGATTCGACGCTCGTCGTAAAAGGATTGTAGCTTCGGCGATCACCGAAAGGGCGACTCGACACTCGAGACACGGACGAATCTCTTTTTCTCTCTCTCGCTCTCTCCCCCTCTCTCTCCCTCTCTCTCTCCCCGTTCGACTCGAGAGGAAGTTGTTGTCGGTGGAAGGCGGGGCCCGAATCGGTCGCGGAACGTCCGATCTTTGCGTCTGGATCCTGGACACCAGCGTCTGGACGTCGATTCGTGGACAGTGTCGTTCAAAGTAGTGTTTCGAGGGGGAGTGAAGTCGATCCAAGTTGTTTAATCGCGTTTGGCCGAGTCAGTCCCCGAAGCAGTCATGCAGAATTATGGACACGAGGATTACGATTACGGGGCAACGGAGGGTGGGCAACAACAGGAGTCGGGTGATGGTAGAACGTTACCACAGGTGCCAGGCGTGAGGCCCATGGTCGACCCCCATGCCCACGGCGAGGTCGACCCAAGCCTTTATCCCCAGGCGAAGGAGGCGACGCACAAGATCCGTGGAAAAAGCGACGTGATCGAGTACCTGTTCGGCTCCGTGGATCAAGAACTGCTCACGGTGAAGACGTTCTATTTCTTCTTCTACTCGGCGTTCGGCTCCCTGTTCCCGCTGATGGGCGTCTATTTCAAGCAGATGGGGATGAACGCCGGCCAATGCGGCCTTCTGATGGGGCTCAGACCCTTCATCGAATTCCTCAGCGCGCCTTTCTGGGGCTCGTTGGCTGACAGGTGAGAAGTTCCCACTTTCGATATTCGATATCGACCCTCCAATTATAACTGAAAAGTCGATTCTAATTATAAAAAGAATGTTTTTCCCGTGTCTTCTTCTCTTCCTGCTTTTTTTTGGTCGATCAGCACGTGTAAGCAGTTTTTCTCAACTCGATATAGTCGATTGTAGTCGAGAGAATAAAATATTGCGTGGATTATGCAGAGTCGAGAATGCTTCAACCCTTTATCGATTCGTTCGGTTCGAGGGTAATAAGAATTGCACAAGTTCCAAATTTATCTGGATACGGAAGTACGACATCGATTTTCTTTGTTTGCTTTCAGGTGGCAGAAGGGTAAATTGATCTTTCTCGCCTCCCTCTCTTGCTGGATCATCTTCACTCTACCCCTAGCCTTCATGCAACCACCGGCCACTTCGTGCATGGTTAGAAGGAACAGCACCGACTGGTTGGAAGCGCCGAATCCGAAAACTAGGATAGTTAAACGATCCACCAGCCTCGAAGACTTTTATCGTCAAAACGACGAGGAATGTTTAGAAATAGCGGACAACGTCGTGTTCGAGAGATTGCGAAAGGACACGAATCTGGATCCGTTGACGGCGCTCCGCTCGCAAACGAGGAAGGAGCACGAGAAGGGAAATTACGACAACAACAGGTTTCGAAGAGAGACGCAACAAGGATCGACCGAGGACAGCCCTGTGGAGGATCTAAAGTACAAACAACTGGTGTTCGAGGAGAACGATCCCGAAGCGAAGACCATCGACTTCGAAACTTTGCAAAGGAAAAACCGTCCCGCCGACGTGCTCGAGTACAAGCGTTTTCTCAACGTGAGTTTCTTACTTTTCAGACATACGCATACGCGAGAGAGGAATTTTTCTCGAAAAGGGGAAACGCCACGTTTATTCCAGAATCAACCTTTGGACGACGGGAAACCGCCGAAGAAAGCGTACACGCATACCAAAACCAGGGTGAAACCACCCCCCACCAAGGTGATGGTGAAACGAGACGCGAACAAGGAAACTTGGACGGAGAACGACTCGAGCGTGTTCGAGCCTCGGCAACAGTGGTCCACGATGAAGAAACTGCGAAAGATGTCTTTGGACGAGGACGAGGAGGAGGAAAACGAGAAGGAGAACGAGGTGGAACCGCCATTGGTCAGGACGAAACGATACGTCAGGATACCTCACTCTGGCCAGAGCCCTCACACCGTGTCCTACGCAGCGAATTACAACGAGCAGGAGAACAAGGGTTGGGTGAAACCTCTGTTCAGCTCCATCGTGTACAGATTACCGGTACGAAATCCATATTTTCTTTTCTCCAACGATTAATCGAACAAGTAATCCTCGTTTGTTCAGGATATCCAAAAAACCTTCTTCCTCCTGTTGTTGCTGGTGATAGTCGGAGAATTCTTCTCGGCCCCCGCCATCACTCTCGCGGACTCCGCTGTGATCACATTGCTAGGCGAGGACGCGGATAGGTAAAACGTTCCATCCCGTTTCCGTCCAGATCTCTTTGCATCTCTCTCTCTCTCTCTGTCTCTCCCCGCGCAGATACGGTCACCAGCGAATGTTCGGCAGCTTGGGCTGGGGCCTGGCCATGTTCTTCGTGGGCATCGCGTTGGATCACAGCACCGCCTTCTCCGAGCATCCTTGCGGCCCAGACGCAAGGGAGAAGAACTACACGATCTGCTTCGCGATCTTCAGCGTCCTCATGGGCGCCGCTCTCATCACCGCAACCCAGATCAACTTCAAGTACGACTTCCCCATAACGGAACCGGTGAGCGACCTCTGATACATAAAATACACGTAATTATTATTAATCGTCCAAATAATTTCGTGCAGGAAGTGGAGAAGCCTCCCGCGGAGCCAACGAGGGAGGAACAGCTGCAGAGCCAATTGTCTCAGCAATTGAATCTACCCAGTCTCCAAGACTCGTCGGCAGCGGTGAATCCAAAGCCGCAACCTCCGGAAGACAAGGTATACTTCGCGATCCTTGATGATCCTTAAAATGATTGATCCGTTCCGCGCTGCGTGAAAAAAGGGATTCTTGACAATTTGTATCGATTTCCAGACGAAAATGTTCGCCCAAACGATGCGAGAGATCCCGGAATGGGTGACCGTGTTGAAGCAATTCAAGAATCTCAAATGCGCTTCCTTTCTGTTCGTCGCCTGGTTCATGGGCTTCGGTATCGGCTTGATCTTCACCTTCCTCTTCTGGCACCTTCAAGATTACGGTGGAACACCGACTCTCTTCGGCGTCGCCTCCGTCATCAACCATATTTCCGAGATATTCGCCTACTTCTTCAGTTTCAAACTGATCCGTCAGATCGGCCACGTGAAGGTAGCTCAACTGTGCTCTTTAAGAGGGAGAAGAATTTGCAACAATTTTTGATTTTTGCCAATTTTTTTTGCCAATCATTTGTAATTTGTCGCTGAAGCAGGCGCGCACTGGTTTCAGGTATTGTGCATGGGGCTGGGGGGGAACGTTCTACGATTCCTCTACATATCCTGGCTCACTATCCCGTGGTGGGTGTTGCCGTTCGAGTTCATTCAAGGGATAACCCACGCGGCGGTCTGGGCAGCGTGTTGCAGCTACATCTCTCACAACACGCCTCCTCAACTGCGCACGAGCGCGCAAGGTGTTCTTCAAGGGATCCATCACGGTCTTGGCAGGGGATGCGGGGCTGTGATCGGTGGCATGTTCGTAGATGCTTACGGTGAGCTACTTTCGCTCTTTCGCTCTCTTCGTCACAAAGGAAAGAAAGAAAGAGAAAGAAATTCGATATCGATTCGACTTGAATAAATTATTATTCATAAGGGACGTATATTCCTTAAATAGAATGGAACAGAAGAAGAAATTCGAGAGAAAAATGTTCTCTTTTCCGAAACAGGGACAACTGCCACGTTCAGAGCTTACGGCCTCATTTGCATCGTGGTCCTCGGCGCGTTCATCTTCATCAACTTCTACAGGAAGGACACCGGTTTCGTGTCCGAATTGCCCCAAACGGAGGATCCGCACCAGGTAGCGGAGGCCACCCACCTGGCGCCGCACGGCGTACCCAGCAACGCCATCCCTCGTGCCCTCAGCTCGACCAGATTACACGAGCTTGCTAATCAGGAGACCGGGTACGGGGCTACTTATCAGACCACGGGCGGAAATCTCGGTGTACCAGGTGCGAATGGCGGTAAGTGTATGTCTTTGTTATTATCGTACTTCTGTTTAATCTCTATCGTGAGTAATCGGAGAAATACATTTGCATACCAGGCCCAGTGAACCCGACGAATCCATTTCTGAACAGCGGAGGCGCAGGCGAATATAATTACGGTATGACTGGCAATGGAGGGGACGAGTATATCCGTAGGAGCTTCCAGGTTTAGTAAAATCATTTCTAACTAAAACGTCTACAAGAAAGACGTTTGTTAGAAAAAAAAAAAAAAAAAAAAGGAAAAGAAAGAAAAAAAGAATAGACAGATAGAGAAAACTTCTACGCAAGGCTATACTCTCTGAGCGAAAAACAATTTTTTTTCTTTATTTCTTTTCGTGCCCCTGTTTCATTATATACAATCATCGCCGGTATCTCGATCCGGGAAACGAGTTATATTTAATCTTCCCCTTGTCTTCTTTTCATATGCTCCCCCCGCAGCTTTACAATGAGGTGATCAGAGAATTGGACCTGTTTAAACCACCGCCGATAGTGACCCATCTACACGCTCAACAACCATGCACCAACCCTTTCCATCAGGACGACTACGAGTGGTAACAGTCCGGGATGTTCGATCCCACTTGAGGTGATCAGGATGCTCGTGGAACGTTGGTCGGTAATCGGCTCGTTCACCGGAGAACCAACGAACGAAGGACCAGCTTCGAAGTGCTAGGCAGAAGAAATTTTTACGGTCAAGCAGGCTCGATTAACCTGGAAACCCCTTGGTGCCTCCTTGGAGGAGCGACGATACCATTCCTTGCATTTTAAATTGGAAACGTTTGCTAACTAACTCATGGGATGGAAATTGCTTTCGACGAATCAATCTCGTTATATATAGAGAAGAGAATAATAAAGAATAAAGAAAATTCGATCGATAAGCGATCGAAGTAGATAACATTAAAAAAAAAATATATTGACCGCGAGACTGATCGATAGAACGACGAAAAGTGCCTGTTCCCCGAGATGTTGTTGTTTACGGTTAAATATTATCGAGAGGATCATTTCAGAAATGATAATCGCAAAATAAAAGATGTCGCCAGATGCGCTCGTTGGGGGCACCAAAGGGTAAATTTCGACGAGATTAACGTCCGCGAAACAGTCCGCGAGACGAAACTCCTTACATTGCGCAGCGAACGACCGAAACTCTCGAAAAGAATCTCGAGTAGAAGGAGACGTGCCATCCAAGGTATTTCGTTAGGGGCGTGACAACGATCTAACGCGGCACGTGAGAAATCGGCGACTTTTCGCACGCGACATTTTCACAAATTTTCGGCTACGTGGACGAGATAAATTCACGATGGTCGCGCGCCACGTGCCTGGATCGTCGGAGAGAGTTTTAAACCACGATGTACAGACGATGATGTTTCGAAGGTTAATACGTATCTATCTCGCGAGATATAGCTGACAACGTGTAGTAAGGCACGACACGATCTGCGGGGTCGCTTCAACGAAAACTCGTTATCCTTATGCAAAGAAGACTCGCATTCCACGGTATCGTTCGAGCTATATTTTCTGAAAACGAGAGAAATATTCAGATCGATCGAGGAAGGAAGGCTGCCAGTTTCTTATCGATGCGCACGATCTTCTATTTTCAGCGGGATATAGAATGGAAAGAAAAATAGTTGAGGCGAGATAAAATTCTTGGGGGAAATGGAGGGTAAAACTCGAATCGTACCGTGTCGTCCTCGAATGCAAGCAGCTCGATGTAATTATTATCGTGTATCTTGACGTGCAAATCTATTACTCGGCTTCTCTCGTTTCGTTACGAATCTGATCATTGTTAACGCGTTAATCTATTATTCTCGGCCAAATCGTCACGAGAATATCTAGATTATAATTATATTGTAAATACTTATTATTCTCGTTTCTCTCGCGTGTGAATTACAACCAACTTTGACTCTTCTCTCGTTCACCAACGTTGTTTTCCGTTTTCTAGGCTGAACGTTGCTCGTTGCGTGTTGTATCCTGTAAAATGTTTCACACGTACTGTAATTATATTATTATTATTATATTATTACTATTATTATTATTATTATTATTATTATTATTATAGTATATCGAGTAGTCTATCAAAGTACAGTTTTATTAAGTAAACATTAACACGTTTAATCCCGTGATATAGGTGTATGATAATTGTTAATTATGGAAGAACTGATTAAGCGGGTCCGTGATAAAGCGTGGGCCGAAAAGCTCGAGATAATTATTATTAATATTGCGCCTCTGCCCGAATCGACATCGAAATTTATGTTCGAGTTACACCTCCTCTTTATCCTTAATTTTCATTTTCCGCAGCAAACGCACTCGATTCCATCCTTCTTTCGATGCGAAAGAAGCTTTTGAAATTGAAAGAGGCGCGTGTTCGTACGTTGAACCGATTCCCTCGAATCGAGGAATCCAATCCCGATTTAGAGTTTTCCACGTCTCGTTCGATTTGATTCGGGTAAACGTGCGCGAACAGCCTAAAACGAATCTCATTTCCCGAGGCACAAGCTAGCACGTTGATACCTTACATATTCATACATGCATACATACATACATACGTATACATAGCGTACGTACGTACGTATCTTATACGAGATTTACAAATCGTAAGGCATGTAGAGTTTCACAGAGCGTCACAGTGCTTTTTAGCTCGGTATCGCATTAACATTATCGCTACAATTACATTAATTAAATCGTAATCGTGTATGCGAATGAACGAACACGTGTCGTACACAGGGGGGTGGTGTTTTGTTTACTCGTTTCGATCGTTCCCCTGGACTGAACACTGGTTTTTTCGAGGACACCTTCCACCGAAATCAAGTAGATAGTAACGGCCGTATATGCCAATAATCGTAATCGTGTTATCTACTTAATAACCAATAATGTTAATAATCGCGCGATGGAAAGAAAAAAAAAAGAAAAAAATGTAAAAAATATGGATTCGTCTCGCGAAAAATATGCACCTGCACGATACACAATGGGATCACTTTATCGATTAATCATCGAAACGCAATATAGAGAAATGGTCGAATAAACACGGATGGATTGATGGTTTCAACGCTTAGAAATAATCGGTCGATCATACTCGACTCGCATGATTTAAACACGATTTTATTTCGTTCGACATTGCTTCTAGCGGTCCATTTGCTTTCGTAGATTTAAAAAGAAAGAAAGAGAAGAAAAAGAAAAAAAAAAAATAATCGCCGTCAAGCCTGTTAGATTTGTTACACTGTTACACACGGTATCCGGTGAAAGGCGTGCTCGAACTAAATACAGATAAGTTATCAGTGATTTGTTTCGCGTTTCTTCGACAACAAGCTCGCTATTAAATCGAATACGATTCTTCGACAAGCATACATTGCAAGTCACTGTCAACAGGACAACAATCTTGAACGATGTGTTTTACTCCAAGTCTTCCTACCACGTAAATTTAAGCGATATGAAATTTTGGCAAGAATTATTCTAAATGTGAATAATGAAAAACGTAGGAACTGAAGGGATATTATTATTCGGATATATTGTAGGGGATCGTAGCATTGCTACGTCTTACGAATTAAGATTAAATCAATCTTACTACTATCGAAGGAAACACGGTGGATTTTAATTTTAATTTCACCTCTGTTAACATCTCTCTCTCTCTCTCTCTCTCTCTCTCTCGATTTTCTTTCTCTTTTTTTCTCTCTTCTTTTTGAGCGACTTTGCTCGAGCATACTTTTCACCCATATATATTTCGTAACAGCCACCGTAACTAAAATGGAGGATATATATATGTTATAGGGATGAAAATGCATGAAAAGGAACATTTGGTGAACTCGATACATATCATATTTGAAATTGATGATTAAGTAAAAGAAAAAAAAATCGATGTAATATTCGAGGAACAGTCGCTTCGCACGTGGTCGCTTCGTCTCGCTCGATATTGTCGCTCGAACGATCGATAAATTATTCTTTTAGTCCCTGATATTTCTCGAAAGATAAAGAAACACGATGAGATCGCGGATTGAGAACACGTTTAGATCTTTTATTCTATTTATATGTATTACGCTATCATCGCGTGTCTTTTACAAGTTCCTTTTTTTTTTTTTTTTTTTTTTTTTTTTTACTGTTTTCTTAACAAGTTCTCGCGTTCGACAAGACTGAAGTAGCTCAAATTCGATTCAGTCGTTTTCGCTGTTTATCGACGAGCTGAAGAGTTCATTGAATTCTCAAGAAAGAAGGCCTGTCGAGGGATTCATGTGCGAAGCGCGATAAACGATAGCTGTACGATAGGTACAGCGTCATTAATAGACTATTAACAGAAGAAGAATATATATAATATACAGTAACGATGTAATTAATATACAGTTTCAAAAAAAAAAAAAAAGAGGATGGAATTTTTCTTTTATCCTTGCCCTTCGTTCATCAATCTGTCTGTATAAATATAAAGTAAATTCGTAATATATATATATATATACATATGTATATTAATATTCAGTATTTATATATAATTACGATTTTAATTTGCGCAAATGATAAAGTGGCATTCAAGGCTATAAAGCAAGTAGCAAAAAAGCATGCATTTAAAGAAATAAAAAGAATAAAAATATTAATTTTCTATAAATTACGAACACAAATTGTATTTTCCTATCTGGAATGGATATCAAAAAATTATAACGCATATGATATAATTTATATTTATGCTATCTCTAAAATGACGCAATATCGGCTAAAATTTCGAAATGTACGATAAAACGCATATGAACAATTGTAACGATGATCAAGCATTTTATTCTCTTTTTTTTCCCTTAATTTTTTTCCCCTCTTTCGTTCGAGATACATTCTAAAATTTAATAGGGATGATTGCAAGATAACGACCAATATTTGGTAAATAAATGGTAATTTATTTGATATTCTTTGGCCTATATCGATATTACTTATGAATTAGAGAGTTACAACTAGAGGCACTAGTCAAGCTTAAATTCTAGCCGACTACGAGAGATCGTATTATGATCGATATTTCTAAAACTATATTTTCCCCGAATCGGAGAAGAATCGAAAATCGTGTCAAAGATTGATTTATTGAACTAGGACTAATAAAATTAATTAATAGCTATTATGCTCACTCCAAGTTTCTGATTACCGACCACTAATATGGTATTTCTATCGGATCAGTGTGTATAATGTAATATATATTATACATACGTATATATAAAGTGTATACGCGACGTGATTCACAAAGATAGGTGAAAGATACGGAAGAGTCAAGAAAAACCGATTACTTTCTACATAATAAAAATACTATCATTCTAAAAATTTAAAATACTGTCGTAAAACTTACTAATGATTTTATACGATGTGAGAAAACGATAAATACGTGATTTTCAAATTTGTCTTTCGTGTCACGTATTTTTGGCGATTTTTTTAAAATGTATTCTTTATCTATGATACTATTTGCGTGTACACCTGCCTTTTTTCTTTTTTTCCTCTCTTTCTCTCTCTCTCTCTCTCTCTCTCTCTTTCTTTCTCTCACTCACTCTCTCTCTCTCTCTTTCTCTCTCTTTTTCTCTCGATACACCACAAATTAATTCCGTAAATACAGTCGATCCAGATTAAAAAGATTATTTTTACGAGTGAAATGCTAATTTGGTTATTTTGGACGAAAAAGTTAATACATACTATATGTAAGTAATTTAAATGCGTGTTCATAAAGATTAAATTCACATTTAATATATGCAAAAGGCAAGAAGCAAGCAGCGAAATGCGATTATTCATAAAATTTGTTCTTTTATACATAAAGCGCCAAGAACACAATTAATCGTTGGTGACATTACATGTCAATATAAAGAATTATAAAAATTACATTAAACAATAATAATAAAATTTATTAAAAATAAGCGAACATCGGTTAAATTAGCTTATCTTTGGCATTATATTACGTTTGGTTCCGACTTGTTACTAAATATTTTTACACCGATGGAATCATTGTTTAAAAAAAAAGGAATGAAACGGAAATATAACGATATACAATATCGTCAAATAAATCTTAATAATTTCTTATAATAAATAAAATTCAATAATGCTATCATATATGTATATTTTTTTTTTTTTTTTTTTTTTTTGAAGTTTGATTGCTTCTAATACTAGTAGGAAATACTGCAACGAAATTAATTTGTACATCTGTCGAGTTTCTCATGCAAAACTGGACCGACACCGGGCAGTGTGTCATTACGGCAGAATCGCATTAAGTGTATAATACTGGCACAGTGAGGCAATGATCTTAGGATTCTCTAAACTATTATTAATGTATTAATATATTTCTACACTCACCATATAATTCATCCATACTTTCACGCTAATTCTTAATCACACAGTTCCTCTATCATTTGTTCCCTATAAAAACCAATAATAACAACGTCGAACTGTCGAGGGCCGATTCTTTGTCGACGATTATTATTATTATTATTATTCTTATTATTATTATTATTGTTATTATTATTATTATTATAAAAAATAATCCAATGCTACCCCTTTTTAAAAGAAAATGAAGGATTTAAACGAAAATAGATACGAAAGAAATTTAATGCGCCGACAAGGAATCGATTCCTGTCTTATTTCGTTGAACTTCGCAACAAAGTATTTAATTTGCGTTAACAATTCTATACTCGGTCACAGCCTTTAGGGATGTAACTTGATGCACGTTATATATCACTGTTACTTCTAAAGCCTAGAAAATATTGCAGGCACGAATAAAAACCCGAGATGTTTTGTGTCAATTTAAATTTTTTTTCCCTCTCTTTACGAATAATTTAGAGTAATTACCAAGAGGTATTTACTTTTTTCCCATTATTAAATATCCGCTTTAAAAATTTCCGATAATAAAACTGATTTTCAGATATGTGTCAAATATTAAAATTGATCGAATTCAATATATACGCAAATAGTAAATTCACAACGTGTAATCTTTCTTTGCCTGATTCGTGTTGCGAAATAAAATTTATTATTTTTTATACATCTACCAGTCTATAAAATTTGTCGAAATTGACATCACACTAATGATTAAGATTATAATTCGAAGTATCGAAAGTTATGATAATCCTATATCTAAACTGAGCAACTATCGAATCGTGAAACCTTCGACGGCTCGAAGACAAGATAACCAGTAACCAACAAGGGCTCGTGTTTTTTTTTTTTTTTTTTACACTCTGAACACACGATATATACGACAGAATCGTATAACCAAAATCACCAGACATGTATGAGAACCTACGATTTATGCTTTACTGATGCCGCATTCTGCCATATCATAACACGCTGAACGAGTGGTCTAGTTTGCAGTAGGAACTACGTAGTTTGATAGCCGAAAAACTGTATCATCTGCTGAGATCTTATCGTTACCCTGATTTAGTCAGATATCAACTTCAAACATATCTTGTTCGATTGGTTTCTTAACCCAACTGCCTAGATGTGCCTTTACGAAAGCTTCCTTCAACTGATGCTTGGCAAGCTGTTGTAGAGAAAATCGAACGAAATAGTGATGAACGCAATTCGCACTGATATATAACAAAAATATTTCGACTTACCGAGTAATTCTGTACGGAAGATTTTGCATCTAAATAATGACGACACTGATTTTTATCAGCATCTTCAATAGTATTAAGTTTACCTAATAAGTTGTAAAATCTTCTGAACAGCCCTTGTTTTGATATTCTAGAAGGTTTTCCTAATTCGTCTTTTCCAGTAGTACAATTTATTACTTCAGCTTCTGATTGACCTATAAAATATATCAAATTATAATAGAATTCCTCATATACTTTTTCTTTTCTTTTCTTTTCTTTTTTTTCTTTCTTTTCTTTTCTTTCTTTTTTTTTTTTTTTTTTTTTTTTTTTTTTCATACCGATTGTCCAATTAACGCTGTAATTAGGTGCTTTTCCAGGTTGTCTCACCTCTGACGAAGTAATAAGACTCATAAGTGGTTTATTGAGTCTGTATGGAGGCGGTAATCCTTGGATCGTATTTTCAATACGTCCGCAGACCGCCCTATACATATGGCTTGGGTTCAATAGACTGCCAAGAACGATGCTGTGGAAGTAAATTGGCTCGATGAAGTAGCTCAAGAGTGCACCTTGCACACCAAGTACGTTCCACCGAGCTATTTTGTCCGAACACGACATCGTCAGCAGTCTTTGGCCCTGTAAAATGAAGTAAATATTTGCGTATAAAAGAATTCTTTATATAAGAATTGAAGATATTTGCTTCATATTTAATTAGTATATATTTAGTTAGTATATTTGAAATACATCATACCATAAGCACACCATCCCATGTTTGGATACCCTCGCTGCTTTTTACGGGAATGGTACCTTCTCCGGATTCTATTTTAGTTCGCAATTGACCTCTTGCTCTTCGATTTGGATGTTTATCGACGGATTCATTCTCTTCGTGAGGTGAAAAGATTCTTGCATCACCACATGGTGCGGTATTTATGTACAAATGAAACTGAATGCCTTGTTTTAGTTTAAATCCTTTTTTTGCTGGTTCTAAAATAGATTCCGCAGTTCGGTCCTCCGTATGAAGCTCCAATTGTTTATACAAATATTCGCATAAACATCTTCTCGCTACCACTTCGGCATGACAATCATTCAATGCACCACCGCTGACACTCAGATGTTCTCCCGAGACACATTTTGTACCTTTGTTTATTTAAAATAAACAATATAATTTTTTCTTAAATCAATTTTGATTTATAGAAAAAAAAATATTTAGAAAAATTATGTCTCACCAGTTGTTACACATATTAATTCCGCATCTGAACCTTTAGTTTGAACAATTCCAGCTAAAACTTTACGACGAGCATGTTGCGGTTTTGATTGAATTAATTCGCTAAATTTTTGATTCACCATTTTCCCAATTTTATCAGCTAACATTTGAGGTAAAGACATTTGATCTTGCCAGTGGCCACTACTGGGAAAGTTTGGCAAAACGCGAACCGGAAGCGGTATACAGAACGAGGAACTGTGAACGTTCCTTAATTTAGCTAATGCTGCTTTACTAGCCGCAGCTTTTGCTAATTTTTTACTTGGTCCAGTTCCCTCAAATGTTTCTCCATCAATTGTCACCGATATTGTAAATTTTGCATAGCTTTCACCATTGTCAGAAACACATTTATATACTACACCAGGATATAATTCATTAATAAGCGCTACAGGACCTTTTTCTAAAAATTTATTCGTGTTCTTTGGTTCTTGACTTAAAGTTTTAAAAGCATTGACTAGATGATTATCGCGTTCCGTAACATCACTCGTAAAATCTGGTTCAAGGGGAATAGAAGGTTGACAAGTGTTAATAGCTTGATGAACTTCTGGTGTATTTCTAAACTGAACAATATTTCTTAGCGCAAGTTCAGCAGCAGCATGTTTTGCCATTTTCTTAGTACGTCCTTTGCCTTCATAAGTTTGACCATCAATTTGTACTGCTATTGTAAATATTGGAGCATGTGTGGGGCCAGTTTGGTCAACAACCTTATACACTGCACCACTTTTTAATTCATTTAGAGCACATACTGCATTCTTGGGCTGTGGATTCTTGTGACGCTTCTTTGGACTAGATGCACCTAACAAAAATAACAAATATATTAATTTGCTTGAATTATTTTCTTTCAAATCTCTCTTTGTTCAAAAAAAGTTGGACCTGAAAAATTTATAAGGTGATCCGTGTTCTGCTTGTTTCTATTAAAAGGATTATGCGTAATAATGCTAAATATTTAATAACATGATATTGAATCGGTCACTGACCTTCAAATTCCGATTCAGCAGGTCTCTTCAAAATTTGTTTGCAAATGTTTGGCTGCTCCATCTGTGAAGAGGACAACAAGCTACTGCTATGGATTTGAAACAGATTTCTGCACCAAAAATAAACTTAATTAATTGAAACTCACCCCTGTCAGGTGTCCTTCCTGTAATCCCTTTGTGGGAGATAGGGGAATGAAATCACTACCCATGGATATGTTGCAATCTAGAGATTGAAATAAAAAGAATACGAATATGAAAATTGTATACACGATGGTTTATTAAAAAAAATCGATGTGAATTTCATACTTGTTTCCTTGATGTCTTTTTCATCTTTCAACACTGTTAATCCGTTCGACATTTCTTGCCCAACAGATAAATGCACCTAAAAGAAGTTCGTCCCGAAACACTGCACTGTTACATTGATTTTAATTATACTCGTGCCGTGATATGTCCGCAGCGCCACTGCTGTTTTTTTCCTAGACGATACATAACCTAATTCATCGCACGTTCCTTAATCACAAATTTCTTATGCAATCAAACAATACGCGCCGCATATATACGTAAAATTATTTCACATTCACGACGCGAGGAAAAATGTTCAACCGATGTGTTATTTGATTATATATTGATGATAACACACCTTATACGTACTAGCGCAGCTTGTTTACTGCGCAGAGTACTGCGCACACGACAAAGAAAACTCGCGCGGGGAGTCGATTTAAAAGACGAGACACTTCTGCTAGAATCAGGGTAACGATGCGCAAAAAGTTTAAAGTGCAACGAAGACAGATACTTATATGTATATGATTTCTTATTTTTATATTTCTTTCTAAGAATAATCAAAAATCTTGTATCATTATTACAAAAATGTAAAATGTCTTTTCTTTTTTTCTTTTCATATTCTTTAAAAATTTGTCGATATATATTATTATACATAACCAAAATATGCGATTATCATTCACGTATAAAATCATGAAAGGACTACACGAGCAATGTATCGCGTGAAGTTAGAAACAAGTCTCTTTAAAGAAACGTAGATAATTTGATCGATTGATTTCGATAATATTTTCATAAAAATAGGCATATAAATTGGCCAAAAATATCATATGCTTGTCACTGAACAATTTTTATGAGTATATATTCTTCTATACTGTGCTAAGAGACTTTTTTCTAACTTTATATTACAAAAAAACTGAAGAACACGTATCACCTTAATTACACAGCACTTTATCTGTATTTAATAACGAATATATAGAACATATTTATAAAATAATAATTCGAAATTATTTATTAACTTACTTTCTTTCGTTATATTCTTCATTTTCATAATGTATTTGATTATAAAAAATAATAAATCCGGACTAATTTTTTTGGCTAACAACAAAAGTTCATTTAATAAATCAATTGTTAATATACAAAGATCTTCGTGATTGACAGTTTTTTCTGAGTCTGTCTTTCCTTCCTCCTACGAGTAAATTTATAATTGTTAAATTAAAATTAATAAAAAAAAAAAAAAAAAAGATTCAAAATTCTTAATAAATTAATCACCAAAAAATCGATATGTAACGTTACATTTTTTATCATATTCATTTTTTTTTGCACTCTCTGATATATTTTATTTCTACGTTTTATAATTCTTCTTAATTGAGATTTCGTATTCGTTTCAACAGATTCTTTCGTTTCATTAATCCAAAGTTCGTGTGCTTCAAAATTATTAGTTGAATTATCATTTTCAGTGACACAACTAGAAGAGATAGATTCCATCTGTTGACAAGTTTCATCCGATTTCTTCTTCATTGAATCTTTTTTCACTTTCTTCTTGTTCATCGTGTGTTTATGATAGTTCCGAATGTTCGAGTATGCACAAGTGAATCGAATATTTGAATAATCGATTGAGATTTCATACTATGTCACATTTCACAATCGGGGAACATGATTATAAAGTTAGACGAAACACGTGATATAATTGAAAGTAATCTACGTATTATATTATCTAATAATTCGAATACAAAAAATATATGAGATATAACGTGGTGACGAATATTTATTTCACTTTTATATGTTTTTTCTTTTCTATCAAACAACATTGAATCTTAAGATGTTTCACAAGTGTTTCAAGGTACGTGAACTCTACGCTCCTTTGTAAACGATCACTTTCTAAGGCTTCAGGACAAAAACTATAACCGTTAAGACGTAATAGGTCCCCCACCTTATAGTAACTGCGATAGAGGGGATAGAACCCTGTTTGCGAATACGATGAACACGAATATATAAACATGAGAGATACACATAAATGGTATTCTTCGTAATATTAAATATTACAATTTATATATTACATTTCCAAAATCCGGAAATATTTTTCCTTTATTGTTATGTTTAATTGAGGTTACTTTAATTCCTTCTAAGGAAATAAATATAATTTTGATATTATAGCTTCTAATATAAGTTTTTCTAAGCGTTATTCTTTTGTCTTTGTAACGTGATCACATACATTCATATACATTGAATCCGTTTTTAACGGTTTCTAGCGGTCAAATTATTTTTTCGTTTCGTTTGAAAAATATACAAATAACGTTATACTTTTTTTTTTAAATATTTTAAAATATTCATATCCATGATAAACAATGTAAAATAAAATAAATTTTTAACGATTAAAAATTCGAAATCGAGCCTAATTTAACAAGATTTAACAAGAACGAAAACGAAGAGTTCTTAACGAAAGGAACAACGAACGAAACGCACAAAGGAAAAGAATATTTTTTAACTGAAATATTTCAGTTGATCGAAGACGTATCTCAACGTTATCCTGGCTTCCAGGGGAAAAAGTTCGCAAGCTTTTTGTTCGTTCTACGGAAGACAAATTGACTTACTCCGCGACAGACAGAATAGTAAAATATTCATGGGATTCAACGTTTCTTTGAAAAAACTCGCGAGTCGTTCAATTCTTCTTTTTGCATTTCTACAAAAGAGAAAAAGAGAGAAGGAGAAACAGAAAGAAATCCTTCCACTTTTTTTTCAACACCTAAAATTTTCTCAATGCGATACGCGTCATTTCCGACATATGTAGATACATTTCGATTTATTCCGTGATTTCCTTGGATCTTGATAACGTATGATTAATACGTTATCGTTCGAAAGCTTTTGTTGTACACGATATCTCGATTTTCTATATCTGACAGATTATCTTAAGGATGGATGTACAAATAAATTGGATGTACGATAAATCGATGTTGCATCCATTCTAACACGTGGTATAAGATTAATAGATATATTAATCATTAATTAGCGAAATGTTTTGAGCTGGATTTCTTGATTAATCGCCAAACGCAACCACGAGCCACGTTGATCTATACAAACTTTGACATTTATGCGAATGGTCGGATAACAATTGGTTATTGAGTTGATAAGGTCTCAGTTGGAATCTTGACTTCGAGGCAGTTTCTATATTGTTTTTTTCGTGAATCGAGAAAATCAGGGGAAACATGTTCAAAAATTATCATTTCTTTTTCATACTGGTTATAACCTTAATTTTCTTGGTAAGCGAGGATTCTTTATGAAAGGATCGAATAAAAAAAAATTTCTTTCAAAAGATTCGCGTTCCCTTTTTTCAGTATTTCGGCGAGGCTGACATTAAGAAGGATTGTCGCAAAGAGTCGAAAGTTTCATGGGGTATTCTATTGAGCTTTAATAATTATTAAAAAACTCAACAAATTTCCACTCAACTTGGTTAATTAATTAATTTAATTAATATTCTCTCCTCTCAACGTTACAGTGGCGTTGAAAAAGATGAAAGCTGGAGATATGGAGCAGGACGACCAAAACTTGAAATGCTACTTGAAGTGTTTCATGACGAAACATGGTATTCTGGACAAGAACGCAGAAGTGGACGTGCAAAAAGCACTTCGGCACCTTCCACGAAGCATGCAAGACTCGACGAAAAAATTGTTCAACAAGTGTAAATCTATCCGTGAGTGTTCCAAAATTCTCTTTTTTCCATCTCTGTATAGATTTCCTCTATAGAATAATTATCCTATATATATATATGTATATATGTATATTCAGAAAATGAAGATCCTTGCGAGAAAGCCTACCAATTGGTTAAATGTTACGTGGAATTTCATCCCGAGGTAAGTTCGAGAATATATCCGAATTTGAACGCACATTCGTTCCCCGGAAGACGAATTCTTATGTTACATTCGCGTTACAGGTTTTGCAGACCGTCCCTTTCCTTTAAAACTCCTCACTGAGAGAGTGATAGCCGCAGGGGAAACGCTCGAGTATATTCAAGAAAAGGAGACGAATTCCGTTTTCGCGTAATTATATATGCGATAAGAAATAAAAAAAAAAAAAAAAAGAAAAAAAAGAAAAAAAAAAGAATAGAGAGCTAATACAAGATTCGAAGTTGAATTGTAATTGGGGGAGGAGGGGAAGGGTGTTCACCTCATTTATCACGAACGTTATCAAGAGAGAGAATCACCTTGTCGAAGGAGGAGGAAGTTTCATTTCGCGAGGTCTTCATCTCCGCTTTTGTTGGGGGAGAGATTTATTCCCTCCTGTATACGTAAGCGCAACAAACCGGAAGGAAAATCATTCAACGAGTGATCGAGCGAAACTTCCGACGACATTGCATTTTCATCGAGACATTGGCGTCTCGCGGAAATTAACTTTCACCAACCGAGCCATTCTTCTCGTTCCTTCCTCTATGTACATATATATATATATATTCCAACTTGGTTTATGCGTCGACGTTTCTCAGAAATCGGTATTAATGAGCGATACAAGTTTTATTATAAGAACGGGAAATGGCACGATAAATCCTCCACGCTTCGTCCTCCATGAACCTATGACATACGATTTTATCGGAAGAAAGAATTATTTTATTTACAAAAAAAAAAAAAAAGAAAATTGTGTCTAAGATCAAGAAATTCAAATTCAATTTTCAATCTCTCGCGAAGATATCGAACGAGTGTAAAATTATTCTTGGCCTTATTCCAGCGCGTCTTTAAAAAAAAATTATTCCTCGTCCACGATTTCGACATTCGTATTCAAAGATTTCGTTCGAATCGAAGTTCAACCCTGTTGTCGAGGCGAAGAGACTCGAGAAACGCGAAGGCACGAAATACACCCTTTCCCCCCCTGTCACCGCTATTACCATTTCCCGGAATGACGATAATCTATCCTGTCGAACGGAAGAGGAGGGAACGAAAGAAACGTTTCTTTGGGCAACGTAATGCGCACGTGCCGGCCCTAACCGACTTCTGAAAACGCGGCTTAGGTCGCGTCTATATATTCCCACCGTCGTTGGAACTGGGTCACAGTTCTGCCCATCGGGGGTATTAAAACAATCCCTAAGCTCTCCGCTTGGCAAAGGTGCGGGGTGGAAGGGTGGGCGGGTGCCAAGGGAAGGGGCAAATAACACGGCGAGGGAGGCGAGCGACACGCGTAGGAGAAAGAGCAAGGGTGAAAAAAAAAAAAAAAAAAAGAGAAGAGAAGAGAAGGTGATGCCGAGGTCTGGTAAGTGGCGGCGAAAAACTAGCAAGGTTAAACAACAGGGAGACGATCATAATGATGCACCACTTTTCCTCGACTCGACTTTTCTAAAGGTGTGATTCGATCGAAGAAAAACTTTTGTTTTTCTATAATTCGGGATACGTTTGTGTATTTTGTATATCTTCGCTTGGCAATTTGCGTGATTCGGGATTCGAGGAATTTCGATAATTGTAAACGATCGAAAAGAGTAGAATTATTTGTATTATAATATAGTTACATCAAAAAATCGTTGAATCGTTCCTTTTCTGGATCAATCTTGTCTCTTAATCGTTCGATTGATATAATTGTTGTGATAAAATATGAGAAAGTGACGATATACAATGATCCAGTCTCAGGTATGCAAGATTTGTCGAAATAAGATCGAGCCTATTGAAATAAAATTTACGTGCTGTCACATTAATTTGAAATTAATGTTTCACCGTATATCGATAGTAATTTCGTTTAATTTTATACGATCTATAACGAAAGAATTTTCCAAGGAACGTAACCAGTTATATATTTTTTAAAATACTCGGACATCACGAAATATGTTAATGATTTTAAACTTTTGACCAATGATGTACACGTACCATGAGTACGCGAGAAAATTTTTCAACGACCTCTCTTACTTTTATTCTTTATTAACGCGCGTCACGTTCTGAAAATTGTGAGTCTGTTCAGTGGGTGAAATATAAAATACTGGACAAGAGGAAACGACCATACACCCTGCTGCCGTTCTGGAGAGGTTCATCACGCGAATTACGCGATATCTTTACAAAGTATCGTTATTAAAGCGAAGAAGAACAGTTAGGTGGCGAGCTAACTTCTGTGATCCGAAGGGATCCAATTCTCGGTCGTCGGATTAATCCGAGTGCACGCTCGTTTCTCGATTCCTCTCGATCGTATCCGTCCTCTTTTATCCTTTTATCTCGTTGTTCGTACGGATGTGAACTTCATTCGTGTTTCCATCCATTGAAAAAAAACAAGGTGGTCCATTCTTGGTCCGGGTTCCAAGCGAGGAAAGTTCGAGTTCTCTTCTTCGATGATATGTTGTATCGAGTCGCAAGGTCTCGCTCGTGGTCGGCCGTGAGAGTGCAGAAACTTCAACACTTGTTCCACGTCTTCTCGACATCCGCGTTAAACGGAGAGTCGATCAGAGGATCGTCTGGATAAATTTCGAATCGTCGTACGATCGTAGAAGGATTTCTCGATGGCGAACGACGATCGAAGTTTCGTCGAAGATTAACGATGGATCGATATCTACGTCGATCGAGAGATATATGATTCCCTTCGAACCGAGGGGAATCGGCGATCCAATATTTGAAAGATGTGTCGAAGTCCCGGCAGAGTTTTGCGAAACTTTGCAGCTGCTCAAAACTTTTGGTTTGCCGGTGTCCGTAGCGAGTGAAAATTATGATCGTGAAACTTTCCCGAAAAACGTTCCCCAATTTCGAATGTTTCCGAAATATAATATATTTTGGAGGAATGGGATCGAGACGATACTCGAGTCATCTTCTCTTTACAATCTCTTCGATTCGTGGAAAAACGGTAATTCACTACAGTTTTTTTTTTTTTTTCATTTACTTTTGAATAGAAAAGATAAAAAAGAAAAAGAGAAAAAGAAGGTTATCGCCGTGGCAATGATTCATGGCTGGTCGGTAATCGATAAACGGGGCACGCGTACTACGTGACCCGCTGACGGTCAAGAAATCCCTATCGGCGATTAACCGTGAAAAAATAAAATGGAGGGCAATCACCGATGAAACGCTCGATCGTAAAGCTGTGTACTGTGTAAAGGATGGAATTGAAGAGAGAGAGAGAGAGAGTCAGAGAAAAAAAACTGACTTTATCACCGGTCAGAGCGGAGGTAGATATTCGATTCGGTGGCTAGTCGGGGATGGTGGCGTTACCTGGCGCCTTTCCAACAATGTGTTCACGCTTTTTACCTCGCGATAAATTCGCGTCTGATGCATCGATAGTCCAATAGTTTCCTTGATTGATCATTCGCGACGACCATGAGATCATTTCGCTTCCATGCGAAACTTGTCCATCATTTCATTTTTCCTTCTTCAAGATGGATCAAGATTCGAACGTTACCTGGGGCGAACCTGGCAATTGAAAGAAACGAAACAAATTTCAATTTTGTGTCTTGGGCTGTTTATGAAGATACAAGCGAGATTCTTTCTATTCGAACATGACGTAAATCAAAAATTACACATAGCTAATTCTTAATTATGATTAATGAGACTAATTCGATTTACGCCTATATTCATTTTAATTGGAATAATCCTAATAATTATCGACAATATCTACTGATATTGCATAAAGATAAGATGAAAAAGAATTTGAATTGTTCTTTATCTCATGATTATTTTTCTCTTGTTTTATATTTTTTTAAGATAAGTCTATTTTACTTTTCCTAGTATATATATCTATTTTTTTTTGTTGTGCGTTTTTTTATTATTTTTTTTCGCCTATTAAAATCGCGTACTATGTTAGATCTTACGAAGATTGAAAAAGATTCACGAAAGACGATTGTCATTTTGGAAAAATAACATTTAATAGCATTTTTCATTTCGATGCCAACAATCAACTGGTATATGACACACACAATCAAAAAAAAAAAAAAAAAANAAAAAAAAAAAAAAAAAAAAAAAAAAAAGATATTTATTTATAGTCAAATTGACCTTTTTTTCATTTTTTTGAATAATTCCAATGGAGAAACATTTCGATTACCATTCGATATATACCATTTTTCGAGCGAGTCATAATTTATTAATTAATCGACATCCCACGCCCGACGATTCTTGAAACGAATTTCAATTCTCCGATGATGGGCCGCATTACGCATTTGTCAATCTCAATTGCCCGAGGTGGAAGTACATCACGATGTATCCACATCGATGACACGTGTTTAATCACACTTGGATGGAAGCCCACCACCTCCCCGGTTCGATTATCGGTTTCGTTTTCGTGTCGGCGTCAAATCATTCGACACGAATCGAGCTGACCCCCGGGGCCGATGCCATTTCGACAAACATGGCAAACATTTCGCGGACACGCGCTTTGACTTTTAAACGAGATCAAGTATCGTTTTCCACGATTTTCGCCTCCCACTCTCTCTCTCTCTCTCTCTCTCTCTCTCTCTTTCTCGCGAGAACAAAGTTTCCGCTCTTCCACCCTTCGAGTTACGATATCGGCGGATTATTTTAGTTTTAGGAGGAAGAGGTGTCCTCGAAGGTAATTCAGCGGAAGGCCACGTCGAAGATCGTGGGAGGGAAAATGAAATTCTCCCCATTGTACGGGGGAAGTTTCTCAATCTGGCTGGACGCGGCCGCCCTTCTATCGCGCCGATAATTAACTGCCTAACAATTTTTCTCGGCTACAACGCTCAATTTAAACTTTATTAATGAAGGGGCCACGCCTCATTAAGCCGCCGCCCTTAATGATTCCAACAACGACTCGTCTAATCCTGTCACGATTTACTTCACACCGCGTTCACCTCCTTTCCCAAAGAAGGAAAAAGAAGAGCTTCGAAATATTTCTTCGATACGTTTCGCCTATTATCACTTTTCGTGTTATCGAATTGATTGGAAAAAGAATTACGATAAAAATTCGACAGTTTCAAAGTGATATTTCGACGACGAGAGAATCGGCACACAAATTTATTTGTGAAAATAATCGTGGAATCTGAAACGGTGTTCCAGTTGGATTAATAATTAATATTGTGTACAATTAAATTGATACAATTAAACTTTGGAATTTACTTTGATACCCGAACGATACGAAGAAGAAACCTCGGTGTTATTACGCGCATTGATCGTATGCACGCGTATCGAGTTACGTTTTCGTATCGGCAACTTCGTACATTAATTTCATTCCACCCTAAAACTGCCATTCCCAGATTTCTGCCAAGTTTTTCTATCAAGTTTATTCCTTGATATTTGAAACTCGTCGAGTATTTTTTGCTCCCCATTTTTTTTTTTTTTTTTTTTACTTCTCCTTTCTTACTCATGCTTGACTTCGAAACAGTCAATTTTTCATTTCAAATGTGAATCTTACTGCTAAAGGAAACGCTTGAGAATTCGTTGGAAAATTTAATCCAATTCGTTCTATGCATGAATGAGAAATGAGGATGATAAAAAAAAAAAATAAATCTCTTTCAGCAATTAAATAGGACAGGTTTATGCACAAACACTTTCTCGTTAGAAACCCCAAAGTGATCAGCCCGATCGTAACATCAAAGAATATTTTCCGGCACGATTGGACACAGTTACATAGCGCTTTCTCTCTAATAAGAGAATCATCCTGTAACGACAAATCTGATCGTAAATGGCGAATGTACGGCTAAAATTAAAATCTCAGAAATAGATTTAGGGGCAATTTATAATAGGGCGCCCACGATGATCGAGGGCGTTCGAATGAAAATGGGAAGATGTGCAAATGGCCAACAATGAAAACCGATAAAAGCGATAAAGTAATTATCAGATGTCTAAAGTTTAGAATAAAGACGACAAATTAATAGTTAGCGATAAGAAATTCTTAGAAAGAAAATATCGATATTTTGATAAAAGATAAAAATGTGTAATCGAGACGAGATAAAATCGATAAAGAAAACGTAATCGAAATATTATAATTTCGCGATAAATTTGAAATTGTTGCCGGAACAAAGATTTGGTGCAAAGATTTCGACCACGATAACGTAAACTCTCTTAATTATTTTCGTTCGTTTACCTTTCCAAAGCAGCGAAAATTGCCTTTCCCCCTCGAGCTCGGTAATTTCACTCGGCCTCCTTCCTTTCATTTCATCCGATTTATTAAACGCTTCACTTTGCCGATATCATAATACTCCTCCCTCCCTTCCGTCCCTATTCCAATTGAAAAATAACAAATACACGGGTTACATACAAGATTTTTCTCCGATTGAATTGCAAAAGATAATTAATTTTTGCGTGCGATCGATAATATCTTACATCATTACATCACGTTCGGGAACAGGAATCGCGCGTGTGTATACGTTGCACGTATGTCGAGAAAGATGGTTGCACGTAAGGTTCGTGTCGATTCGTGAAAAAAAAAGTAACCTATAATAGATCGGTCGAAAATGTGTCGCCACTATCGATCTGTAACGAAATTACGGAGGTTTCATCAACCTTGTTCCCGGATGGTGGCAGTCAGCTGTTCGAAAATCTTCAATATTTATTGCGTTAAGATACGCATTGTATAAGCACGCATCGCTTTCAAAAATTAATTCAATCCGATGTATACGCGTAAAAAATGTTAAATTCGATAAAAACATCAAAAATATCATACGATTCAAATATTCCAGATGCACGATGCAATGGACTGAATGATTCGCAATTCGATTTTTTTTTTTTTTCCCCCTCGACGTTTTCAAAGATATGGGAAAAGGGTCATCGATTTTTTTTTTTTTTCTTTTATCACATCAATTTCGCAGAATGAATTTTCATTCCTGCGCGGAAATATAAACGTGTGCGATGTATGGTAAATGTGATTGCCCCTTATATGCCGGCAACTAATTTTCGTGAAACGCATCCGGTGTTTACCGGTGCAATAAAAATTTTCCTATTTTTACCAAATTGATTGCGTTGTTGCGAAAAGCACTGGAATCCGGCGGGCTGGGATCGAGCGGGTTCCAATTGGCGAGAAGGAGTGGGGAAAAAAGCGAAGAGGCTCGATCTTGACGCCGCATTTGTTCCTGCCCGCACAACAGCATCGAACTTATTCCGATAGACTCTCAAAATTCACGGTTTATGCAACATAATTTATCCAACAATCCCTGTTGAAAAAATCAATCAAAATTCATCATGTGTGACCATTGCGCGTAAGTAGAGATGATGGCGACGGGATAAATAAATACGTTTTCGTAAAAACGAATCGAAAATCGGCCCGATCAATTATAAAATCGTTTCCATTTATTTTTTTCCCCCCCACAGAAAAGTTACGAGTCAGAAGGGATACGCGGGCCAAGTGACGTGTAAATGCGAGCAGTGAGTACAACATTTTCGTAACGTAAAACGTGTTTTCATTTCACCGATATTTACTGTTACATCCTAATAATAATGATAATAATAGTAGTAATAATAACAATAACAATAATAATAATAATAATAATAATTTCGTGTCATATTCGTAACGCAGCGGTGACAAGAGGATGGGCGAACTCAAGGAAAGGGACTTTGGAGGATGTTGCTCGAGGAAGTATGATATCCAATATTCTTCCTCTTTCTTTCTTTCTTTTTTTTTTTTTTTTTTCTCTCAATATCGTACGCACAATTTTTGCTTTCTTGTGAAAAAAAAAAAAAAATAAATAAATCCGACGCATCCGACCTGTATGGCCGCCAGCATAACGAGAAAAAAAAAAAAAAAACGAAGAAACGTGAGACGGGGAAGGGGGGAAGGGACCGTACGAAACATTTGATTTTTTAAACGTAACGGGAGATATATTTAGGGCGGAGGACAGGAGGAGAGATAGTTGATAATCAGACACTTTAAGCACACAGCAGCATTCGTTTAATCGAATTTAATAACCGACTGAATGTGCAGAGAGAGAGTAACAGTGGGCGGATGTTGCGGTTCCAAATGCTGCTCCGGATTGCAGGAGGAAGGAGGGTGTTGTACCGGAGGTTCGCCAGAGAGGGAACCGAAATTTTGTTGCAGCCCTGAAAACTAACCGAGTTTCCTCCTAAGGAAGCCTTTAAGAAAGCTGGCTTCAAAGGGAACGAGGCAACCGGTAAACATTATAAGCGTTAAGCCCCGGGCTGGGCGGCCATATAGGGACACGGTAACAGTTCCAAAGGGAATTCGTTGAATTTATTACGCCATTACTCCGTTCATTCACTGATCTTTCCGTTCGACACGGATCCGATGGAAATAATGCACGCGCGCGTGCGTTAGAATTTCTTCTTCGAGAAAAAAAAAAAAAGGAAAAAAAAAAAAAAAAAATAGTTGTTTCCTTCCTTTTCCCTCGAGAACGGAATTTTGGTCGAGAAAACGGGTAATTATTATATTGCGTCGCAACTTTTAAGGGGGGGAGGGGAGGGGTGGGAGGGAATTTAGAGATGATTTTTTTTTTTTTCTACAAAAGTCAATACGTCAAATTCCATCCATTTTTTTTTCAGAGCGAGAGAGGCGGCTGGTGGTTGTTGCTTGTCCGGTTGCTGCAAGGATAAAGGGAAGAAGGAACCGGAACCGGTTTCGAGATGCTGTGCCGAGCGAAAATGAACATTTTTCATTGATTAAAATTCTGTAGTATCACAGTACCATTCGATGTAATTTCATACTCTTGATGTAATAAACGATTCTTTCAAACTACACACGTCTCCACACGTCACGTCGAACGTTAAGAGTATATAAAATACGCGTTCATAATGATAGAAATCGGTTAGAGAGAGAGAGAGAGAGAGAGTCGTCTACTTGAAAGTATTATTTTCTCCGGACGATAGGATGATCCCTTTCGAGATTAATATTTCGAGAATGATTTTTCGAGAATGATTACATACATTGAAATATATTCGCGCCCCTCTCGCACTCGACAAATGAAAGCTGCCGCGTAATTAACCAAAATCCATCCTAAGTTATAATCATGCGTCATTAAACAATTTTGGAACAAACTTCTAAATTTATCAAGTATCAATCATGTGCGACCACTGCAGGTATACAACCTTTTCTCCTCCTCCCCCACTTTCGCCAAATTCGCGTTCTCGTAATATAACCATTCGATCGCGCATATTTTTCCAGAACTTACAAATCAATGCTGAAAGAAGGGGACGGTAACGGTAACGGTAAAATATGTTATCAGATGGAGATGTCAAAACCCATCAGTATGCAACCCATCACCATGCAACCTATCAGCATGCAACCTGTCAGCATGCAGCCCATGCCATCGACGAAGCAATCGTGAGACTCTCTCTCTCTCTCCCTCTCTCCTTACGGCTCTCTTCAAATTTTGATACAGTTAAACGGAGAAACTGGTTTTCCGGTTAACTAACCGTATTTACAATTTGCAGCAGGAATCTCGACGCCGATTCGACGGGTTGTTGCTCGTGGAGGAAGACCTGCTGCGACGGGATGTGTTGCAGGCACGTAGGCAACTGCTGCGCCACAGGATTGGAGCCTCGAGTGGCCGAAAAACCGATGCCCACTTACCCCACTTATCCCACTTATCCGGTTATCCAACCAACACCGATGCCACCGCCTTATCCGCCCGCCGCTTATCCTTATCCCTCCGTTGAAGTGCCTCGTAAGCGTCCCATGATATCTCCTATAAAATTACACGACGTGACGCCCACGCGTCGGTTCCTAACCACGACCAACCACGAAAATCCGAGGGGGGAATCGTCGTCGAAAGCGTGCCTCTTAATTGAACGTCGTTTCCCGAAACGAACGCTTCGCTCCCGCTTCCCGTGGATACGAGTCGAGAATTAACTTCTCTTCCATGTATATCCCCCATCCTCCGTGAAAAGGTCATCCTCGGCAACGATGGAGGAGTTGAAAAATGCGCGCGATCGTGGGAGGACGTGCGAGGATTTTTGGCTCGCCCTCCTTTCGGATTTGAGATTTTCTTGAGGTCGCTTTCTAGTTACGTCTCGAAACGCACGCTTTTTTCAAGATCAAGAACTTTTCTCTCTTTCTCTCTATTTGCAAAGTTTCTTTCGTCCCTTCCTGGAAAATTTAAATTTGCTTGGGACGAGGAGGTAAGATAAGGTAAGATCGAAAGGGATGAATTAATTCGCGCGGTAAAATAAAACCCGATCATCACGAAATGTTAATTCAAACGAGCCGTGGAACGAGCTGTTCGCGCGTTAGCCAACGGATTAACGCGGATCTCGCCCCTCGGCCGAGAAGAAAGAGGAGTTAATTCGACGAAAAACCGGAGGAGGGAAAACAGAGGGGGAGTCGATTTATTATGCGGGTGTATCCGGAACCCGAGTTAACCTGGAGGATCGTTAATCGATAGGACCTCGCCGTGTAGCCAAACCGTGTCTGCAATCAGATCGAGAGGGGAAAAGTTATATCGGGTTATAACGTATTTAGTTTTCGACCCTGTTTCCGACAGTTTCCGGTTAAACGTTTCACACCTGTCCAACCATTCGCACACTGCTCCTACTCGCTCCTCGCGACTTTCCACTCGCCCAAATTGATCAAACCGATCTCCTTTCGAGCCCTCCATCCTCTCACCGCTTCGAAATCAATTGTATCGCGTATATTTTTATTTTTTTTACTGTTGTTCTATACTATATTTACCTTGTAAATTTTACAAGAAATCTAATTAGAAACGATATATTTCCCAGCCCCCGAGGTGCCCGAGAGAGTGCCCTGCAGCCAGGAGAAGAAGTTGCCTCTATGTTACGGGGGCGATTGTCAAGAGATGAACCAGTGCAAGAATAAGGACATCGTAAACGATTCGGAGCCGAGGCAATCCGAGAGATAAAGCGGAAATATCGAAACGAACGAGGATGACGATGACGATCGAATGAAAAAATGGACGTTCCTCCTTCCAGGGAGGGGAGTATCTAAAAAGCGACGTTGTTGCCAAATTTGGAGGGAAAATTAGTTAAGAAGGATTATTCCATTCTCTTTCTTGGCAAACACGAAACTTGGTCTTCGCCGTCCCAGCAGTATACTACACTTCGCAGGTGGATATACTTTGAAAATGAAATTTCCCGGAGGGGGAGATGGAATAAAATAAATTATCTCGGTTTTCCGTTCATTCGCGAGCAAAAGTTGGACAACAACCCCCCTCCTAAAGAGATAAAAGAGAAAAAGAAACCACGATTGTCCCTTGGAAAAGTGTTCAAAGAAGAAAAGCAAACCAGGCGTTTACACCGAGATGATAAATAATAATTTTATCCTCGGCACTTTAATCTCTCATCTGAGCCAAATCTTGACGGAGGAAATTAGCATTATCATCTTCTATAATTTTCCCCTCGTTACTTTTATGTTTTTCGAAATTCAAATTTCGCGAAATGTAAGAAAATTTGTTCAAGAATCGGCGAATTGCGCACCAATTTCGTGAGATGTTATTATTATAAACGACTGAAAAAAAAAAAAAAGAAAAAAAAAAAGAAAAAGAAAAAACGTAAAAAATTATTATTTTTTTAGGCGAAGCATGGATTACTTCGAATACTCGGTCGCCCAAGCAAAGGGTCGATTTACAAAACGAGAATGATGCGTCATCGTTGATGCGTCTCGCGCATCGGGATGCAGACTCGACCGATAAAGGAATTTAACGAATCGCTAACGAGGCTAACCGTTTCGATATATATATATATCGTTCGGTGTATCTTCCTAATCTATTTGTCGTGAAAAATTGTCGAGAAGAAACAAATACGGCCGCGTAAAGGATAATAGCGATGTGAAACGATCCTAATAGTCGTCGTAAAACAATGGCCGGTTGGATAATTGTAAAGGGAGGCGTTGGTGAACGTGGGTGAACCCGAGCAAACGTTTTACAAACATTTTACAACCCTCTCTCTCTCTCTCTCTCTCTCTGTCTTTCTCTCTTGACTGAATAGAAAATAAACACAGGAAACGATTGCATTGATCTTTTATAATTAACCACGATAAATAATTCCTTGGCGATACACCGTGACAACGATGCAATCTTTAAAGGTCATCAACTAACCTGAACTTACTCAAACTTTTAGATCAAAAATGTCGTTACATCCATTTTTTTTTTTTTTTTTTTTTTTACCTTTACACTTTTGGCCACTTTTCACGTCAAATTTATTTTTCAGTAAGTTTTTCATCGCTTTCGTTGTTAAGGACAACGACGAAAATTTCCTTGGAGAAATATTCGCGCGAACGTCCAACGAGTGATTGAACGAAGGCCGAAAAAAAAAAAAAGCCATTTGCAACAAAGCTGGAATTAATCATCGCGCGACATCACCTTTGCCGTTTCGACCGGATTCCTCAAAAGCAACGAAAGCGTGGGATTCATAGCCGGGTCCATTCATCAAACTCCCCTTCTATCGAAATAAATGGAAACTGGGCTACCAACTACGTACCACCAACGAACGAACAAACGTGTACGAGTCGCGTTTTTGCCACGAATCTTCCTTCACACTTTCACGCCCCTCTCCACGCGCACCATCCTCGCGTTGCATTTGATTCTAATTCTAATTTCCTTACGAGAGGGAGCGCGGCGAGAGAACTCTAAGCAAAGTCTCGATATTCCCCGAGAAATAGCAGCTACCTCTGCCAGAGATATACTTTAAACGATACTCGCCACAATTTCGATTTGCATCCAATCGATGCTTCGTCCATCGAACGTACATCTCTCTCTCTCTCTCTCTGTTTCTCTCTCTCTCCTCTTATAGACATCGACAAAAATCCTCGACTCCTTTTCCACTCTCGATCTCGATCTCGATCTCGACGTACACGAGGAGCGGGGAAGGAGGGAGAAAAAAAATGAGAGAACGATAACGAGAACGACGAAGGAAACGCGCGAAGGAACGGATGCGTGCAAGAGCAAACAACGAGAGAGAGAGAGAGAGAGAGAGAGAGAGAGAGAGAAAGAGAGAGAGTGGGCACAAGTGCGTGAGCATCGAAAGGGCGTCGCGGTGAGGGTGCCGTTGAACGAGGAGCGCAAGCGCTACGGGAACAGAGGTTTGGGGCCACGCGGCGGCACCAGTCGCTCCTCTCAAACCGCGAAACACGTCCCGGCGTCCTCGAGGACGAGTATCGCGAGAGAGGCCGCACACATCTCTCTTTCTCTCTCTCTCTCTCTCCCTGTCCCTCTCTTGTTCCTCTGTCTCGTCGTCGTCTCTTCTTTTTTTTTTTTTCAATTTTTTTTTATCATCCCCAATACAAGCTCGCGAGTTTTAGTTACACATCGTGCGTGCGTGAAGGTGCAGGGTGGTGAAACAAAAGAAAAAAAGAGAAAAGAAAAAAGTTTACAAAACGCGGCAAGTGCTCGTCCATCAATCCTGGACCTGGACACCGGAAGTCTCTCGTCGGTTGTACGACACGATGCTTGTGCAACGCTCGTGCTACGGGTCCAAACCACTCCGATCGAAGGATCGCGACGAAGAGAGAGAGGATCCCGTCTTCTCGTTCGTCGATGAGATTTAATAAAATAAGAAAGAAAGAAAAAAAAAAAAAAGAAACGTCGGATACACGCGTGCAAAGACGACGACCTCGAGCGGGTGTACCAAGGAACGGCGTGCACCGGATATTAATTAACACGCGTCTTCCAAGTGCCATAATAATATCTACTTACTCTCTTGTTATCGTTTGTTGTTCTGTTGTGTGTCGGAATCCAGTGTGTTCCTTCATGAGAAGAGATAAAAATGTCGATCGAACGGCACGCATGTCTTTTGTTTTCTGGTGAAACGCGATAGTTGGAGAAGTTGCCGGGGTGCAGCCGATCCTTTGATCGAGGAAAGAGGTTTGCAGGAGGTTCCTCCAACGAATGGAGCGGCGACCTTCGGCTCGATCGACCATCGAATCGGCCGACCTTTCGTTACGAGGCCACTGCGAAGCGTTAGTGTTCCCCCGTTAATTGCAAGCAAATCGATCGTTATCGAGATCGCACGTTCCACATCCCCCCCCTCTCTCTCTCTCTCTTAAGATCGGAGGGTACGGTCGAGACGTGAATTCGGTTTCCCGTTGATCGCATCGAAACCGATCCGCGTTTCTTTCATCGCACGCGCGTTCGAGTTCGCGAGTTCAAGAGAACCTCCTCCTCCTTTTCGTTAAATTAGTAATCGACAAGCGGCGGCCGTTTGATTAGTCGATTAATTTATCGGTACGACAGTGAGTTATAAATTAGAGTTTAAATCGCGAGATCGATCTAGGTTTCTCGTCCCGAATTTTTAACGAGAATTTTTAAACGAGGGAGCATCCTTCCTTCGAGACACGCGTTCGCATCGCGATCTATCCTCGATCGAGGCTCGATTAATTAAAAGTTTCGAAACGAAAAGCGGAGGATTCGCCCGGACGTGAAACCAATAAACGAAGAAGATCCAAGATTCTTGTTCGAGCGGAGTTTTTATACCGAAGAGGTAAACGATAACAGATCGCGCAGGATACAAGTTCTCGGTGAGAAACGATCAATCGAGAAACGATTTCTCTCCAATCGTCAAACTGATGCATTAACACGCGTTTCGAAGAGCGGGAAGAATTGTTATTTCGTTGCGAAACGATCGTCGAGTCGGCTTTCTCAAGCTCGAAAACGGTAAATATTGCCGTCATCCTTCCCCTATTTGCCAGGAGAAATCCCTCCCCCTCCCTCTTTCTCTCTGTCTCTTGGAGCTCTGCGTGAATTATCTTTCGAAAATTGGCGGCGTGGAACGACGCGTACGTAAAACGTTGCACGCGCCCGACCGAACCCACCGAATCTGACACGCGCGCGTACCCAAATTTCCCAAGCCGAATCTCGACGTCGACGAATAATCCGGACGCTTCCTTCCGTCCCTCTGCTTTCCCTCCATCCTTCCAGACGATTACATCCGCGCTCTCTTATTTTCTCATCCATCCTTCCTTCCTCCCTTCCTTCCTTCCTTTCTTCCTTCGTCCATTGTTCGTCGATCAAGGTTTCGATGAAACGTTTCCAGCGTAATATTCGTCGTTGTTCAAGGGAGGACAAACGTTGTTCGAGGGTAACAACGTGAGAGACGTTGAAATCGTCGGAAATAGAAGGAGAATAACGAGAAGGAAGAAGAAGAAGAAGAGGAAGAAACACTCGTCTCTGAGAGGAAGAAGATGGTCCACTGGATCGATCCTCTGGAGAGAAGATATCTCTTTGTTCGGAACAGTGTCCCCGAAGGAATAATTCTTCGCGTTTAATCGGTGTATCGAAGCAGAAACAGCATCTCCCTGATTCAGCTTCAACCCGCCGTTTCACCTCCTCGTTACTCCTCCGGTGAATGATCGAGAAGCGAGGGTAGGAGAGGGTAGATGTCGGTTTTCACGTGTTAATTAAGGATCGTCCATTCGCTTGGGGGAGGGGGATGACTGCAGTGTTAGCGTTTTCTCTCTGTGCAAAGTAAACAGTGTAAATTGAACGTATCCAGAGAGCTATACATATATATATATATGTATGGTCGATTAGCCATTGACCGAATTATTTTCGGCCAAGAATTGTGAGTCGTCCTTAATTGGACCCTGCGGAACGATAAATTCGAGCGGCAGAAGAAAACGGAAGAGAGGAGCGAAGAGGCTGGACGCGTTACGGTGACGTCAAAGGTAAAAGAATGTTTCGTATCATCACCTTCGCTCTCCTTCTTTCACCTTCGTTTTCCGATACTTGGCCACCGATACTTTTTTTTTTTTTTTTTTTTTTTTTTTTTATTCCCGTCACGTTCTCGTCGCGCCACCCTCCCGGATCGTTCCCGTCGCGTGATCATCGTCGATTAAAGAGGATTCACGTGGAATCGTGAAACGAAGGGAGGCTTTGAACCATGCCGTTAACCCTTCGGGCGCGACAATTCTTTCTTCTTCTTCTTCTTTCGTTTTCCCCCTTCTCGTTCCCCTTTGAACGAAAACAGTACGAGTCTACTCTCGCCGATAAATCAAATCCACGATAAATCTTCTAACCAACTACAAAACTCTCTACCGTGAATCGCATTCTATAATTTATTACGATTTCCTTCTCGAATTTCACTTTGACACGATATATACGTATATATATACATATATATCGCGTTTGTATCTCGATATCTTGAAAATCTCTCGTTGACGATAATCACGTAGAATTCGTAGAATTTCTATTAGATTCTTTTTTTTTTAAATGTACTTGTAACTATTCCGTGAAAAATAATAACGTTGTAATATATTCTTGCTCGAATATATCTTATACGCGATATATCCATCGCGATAAGGCTTGGGTCTGCAACCGTGCAAGAACCATTTTAGAGATCACTGAAGTCTTGATTAACAAACCAAGATTACGTGGATATATCCATTGGATCCTGGTACTTGCTTTTCCAACCAATTTGTTCGATTGTAAACGGGGACGAGTTTTTTCTTCTTTTTTTCTTTCGCACAATTCTGCGAAGGACGACAGCTTTTCCTCGAAAATTCGAGGGAGGAGAAGGGAGGAGAGGTCCTGCGGAGAGAAAGGGAGAAGCGGTCTGTCTTTTACGCTTCATTCACCGATGAGCGTTCTCAAGGGTGGCGCTCCAGATTTTTCGCCGTGATAGCATTGATAACGAAGCGATCGAGAAAGCGTTTTCGTGGTTCCATTAAAGCGGATCGGTCTAATATCCTGGGAGTAGTAGGCAATCGGGTTAAGGATTACCTTCAGCGCATCAACTCTTTCGCCAAGGACGATTAACCAATTATTTTTTCCTCCCGGATCGACTGTCGATCTTCCAGATTTTTAATCTTTCTTGTCTTCCTTTAATAACAGCGATAGCCTCCATCCATTTCGAATTAATGGTTTTTCAAATAATCATTCGTCCTCGTTATTTAGAATAGATAATTTTTCTAAAAAAAATTTTTTATTCTATTCCATGGGGGGGGGAAATCTATCGTAAAAATTATCGTTTTTATCGAGATTAATTCCTCCGAGAGAAACCCGAAATTTACAACATCTCGATAAAACACGCGTTGTTCCTGGCAGACATAGGATCGACAAGGGAGAATAGAAATTCGAACAGCAGATTTACGCGATTCGCCAATTTTTTTAATAATCCGAATTGACAGCTTTCGACAATTTTTTCCAGTATCCACGAAATCGTCTTATCCTCCACCTAGCAACGTAAATTTTTCAGATCCTTGAAAAATTCGTACTCCAACTACTTTTAGAAACGCGATACTTCAAACTCTCGAGTTCTCTTTCTCTCCATATACTTTCTATACATAAACCGAACGAACAATTTGCACTTGTAACGATCTCTATAAAATTCCTATGATTTAAAAACACAAGAAACACGAAGAAATATTCGCGAGAAGAAATCGTAGAAATTGCCAAGGATGGCGCGTTTTAACTAAAGAAGAAGAAGAAGAAGAAGAAGAAAAAGAAAAGAAGACAATTCAGTCATGAATCTCATCGCGAGACAACCAGATCGCAACGACGGTTTCAATTAACTGCGCGTAATTGGGGATAATTGCCGATAACAAACTGCTGCGTAACCAGCGTTCTTGGATTACTCGTCAGCACCACACCGATACTTCGTCCCACGCTTCCTCCACGCTGCCGAGAAATCCGCTGCGATGAAACACGATCATGAAGGAGGACGGATCTCTTCGAGTCCAAAAATGATAATTCATCCCGCGTCCTGGATTAAAGTGGAGGAAGGGGGAGAGGGATCATCCCGCGTAATAATAATTTCGACTCCGCGCCACTTCACCTGCAATTAACGAAATCGCAAGATTCGGGAATGTCGTCTAAAACGGACGAAACGGAAGAAACTTTTACATTCCGAACGGATGATTTATCTTCTTAATCTCCGCGTTTAATGTTGGCCAGGATTCCAGGAGGGGTGGTTTGTTCCTTGGCTGCATTACCATAAGACAGAGCGGCGGGACAATTCGTGCGTGTAACGTGAGAACGGCTCGATGGAAACGGGAAGAGAGAGAGAGAGAGAGAGAGAGAGAGAGAGAGAGAGAGAGAGAGAGAGAGAGAATTTTTAAATTAACTTTCGCCGCTATAAATCTGGAAACGGTAAACTTGAGGACGAGTGAGATAAATCACTCGGTTTTTCGCTTTTTTTTTTTTTTTTTTATCCGAATATTTTCCACAACAACGCACGCATCCGCTGCTTAAATTTCTATCTAATTTCGCAATTTCACGGATCGAGGTAATTTTTCTCGAATATTCGTCCCCGCGTTAAAGATCGTAAGGATTTTTCAGCATAGTTCCGATATAGCGAATGGCGCGTCCGACCATAGACGATCCGATTTCCCTTAAGCGATCGTAGCCGCTCTTCCGTGAACGAATGGTATCTGGAATAAAAAAAAAGGCTCATGTAAAGAGGGTACGTAAAAAGATGTACAAATTTTCAACGTTTGTTCCCGTTTCACGTACGGTTTCGTGGAATCGAGTACTCGAGAGGAGAGGGCAAAATGAAATTCGGGTTCCGCTGACTTCGAGACTTCCTCCAATAATCGTACGCGGAATAAATGGCTTTTTAATCAGATCGCAGAAACGTGTTCAAATTTGCGAACGATCCTCAACTTGATGAAACTTGAAATTCGTATCTCCATCGACGCAAAAGGAACTTGAAACGGCCAGCATTGTGTATATGTGTGTGTGTGTGTGTACGTGTTTCTCTCTCTCTCTCTCTCTCTCTCTCTCTCGTCGTTCATTTCCCGTCGAAGAAAAATGAGAGAATATAAGAGAAATCGTCGATAAAACGCACACGTGGTAAACAGAGAAATATTTATGTTCGAGAATTCTGTTCCGAATCGATTCTGGAGATTCCTTTTATCGGGAATCGTATTTCATTAGTCCAGTATCCTATGTTTTTACCCCCATTTTTTTTTTTTTTCTTTCAAACTGTCGGAGCACAATCTACGAACGAAAATAAGAAAAAAAATATTTTGTAAAAGTTTGTTAAAAGTCGAACATAGCAACGAAATCTTATCTCGAAACAACTTTTTCTTCTTCTAAGGATCTTCTTCCAAGAATGAAATCTCCATCATCTTCTCACAATCTCAATCGTCTTCGAAAGAGAGAAATAAGAAGCTCTCAATTTTTACGATACATGCAAATAAATTATACGATACGATCTTTTTTTTCACTTTGGCAAGAAACAGAAATATTAAGTCTAAATTGAAAACGGAAGCGGAAACCGGACAAGCGGCGGAGAGAAAAAGCGACTGGACGACGGCTGGCCATTGACACTGGATGACTTCCGGTTTGCATCAAGCAAAATGCCAATCACGCCGGCAATCTTTCAATTGGCACCAGCCTGGCAATCGAGCACGGTGAATCCCTCCCTCGTCGTACGCATCGAGTCCCCTTAACAGCCCAGTTAATCGCCCATTCTTCACCAGCTGTTACACGATAACACGGATTCGCAGTTTCGCAATCTCCTTGTATCTGCCAACTCGCCATACTTGCCATAATTCCAAATTTCATCCCTTCTCGTTTCGATCGAGTTTACATATCGAGTTACCGTCGTATTTTCATCAGAGGGATATTTCAATCAGGAGGAATCGAGAGGGAAAATTTTTCGAGAGAAATGTCGCGCGATATTAATTAACCAGCTCGCAGTCCGCAGACATCACGATTTTAGCTCGTTTAAAACGTTTACGACGAGTAGTTTCGAGAGGAAAAAGGGTTCGGTGTACTTGTCGGAGGGAGCTTTTAGTTGGAAACCAGGCTCATCCAAATCTCTCTCTCTTTCTGTCTCTGAAATATTATGCACGCCCGAATCCGGGTCGGTAATGGTTTTATAAGTCCACTGTTTTATAAGTTTCTCTCCGGATAAATTAATCTCTGGATTTACCTTTCGACGTATCGTTGGGCGAAACTCGGGTTTGGGGATTTATTTTCGGCTTACCTTCGTGCCCCTCTTCCCGAGAATTGAATATAGCGTGTCGACTTTTACGGTTTCCCTCCTGGCAGCCCTTCCCTCGCCACCGAGATCGATCCCACCAAATCTCTCAAATGATTCGTGCGATATAAGCGATAACTTATTCCGTTCCTTGTTCGGATCTCGGAACAAGGAAATGAAATTCGGGACGATATCGATGAATTTTCCACACGTTTATACGATTCGTTGGGAAACGTTGAGAAACTCGTGAGGTAAGCAACTAAGAAGGGAGCGAGAAAGAAAATTATCCTTTTTTAAATTAAAATCGTTGTCGAAGGCTGCTCCATTCTCGATTAACTATCGCCGCGCCAAAACGCCTTAAACTAATCGAGCGAGAGAGAGAGAGAGAGAGAGAGAGAGAGAAAGAATCGTTTAAGAAAGTATTAAAGAAAGAAGGGATGGAACGAAGGGACGAGAAGGGGGTTACCACTTTCACTCGTATAAACAATGGGAGGGAAGGAACAACGTCTAGATAAGCTGACAAACAAACGGGCCAGACGGAAAACCCTTCAGGCTTGTAAGAAAACGTAGTTAAAATCTGATGTACGAGGGGGAGACGTAAATGTCGTGATAAATTCCCGGGCTATACCGCCGTTACGGGTTAAGGGTAAACAGGCGACACTGACCTCTCCTCTCTCTCTCTCTTTCATCATTTTATCCGCATCGATCTATTTTTTCCATATACATTTCCAATATATTTCC